ATAGATAGATAGATAGATAGATAGATAGATAGATAGATAGATAGATAGATAGATAGATAGATAGATAGATAGATGGAAAAGCTTAGACAACATCAGAAAAATGTTGCACCAATATGTATTTTTCCATCAGAAAATTGCATATATTTTTTCATAATCACTTTCTTTTAGTGACATCAGCTTCTTAACACACACTTAGCAGGAGCGCTGTGCGGCCTTTATTGGCCTCTGTATGAGCTACATAATTCAGTGAGCGGCTGTCAGTGGGAAGTGGCCGGACAATGAAATGGCCTCGTGTGTTTATGTTTGCTGGTGTCGACGACAGGTATAAATCTGTCCTCACCAGGACAACAGCCGCCGGACACTTCCGACTAACCAGCCGTATTCTTCATTGTGTCAAGTTATAGGAAAAAAAGAAAAAAGAAGAAAAATACAGAAAATGAATTGTCGGCGCGTCAGATTCAATTCATCCACTATTCGAACGTGTTAAGAAGAGCTTTAATACTTCAGTTTGTTGGCTGCTTATCGTGGGTAATTTTGTCCTGCAAAAGCGCACAAAGATATGGAATAAAAACTGTTGTTCATAACGGACTTTTAGCAACATCATATTGACCAAAATATTGGACCTAAATGCCATGATGAATTATTGGACAAGCAGTCTCAATATTAAACATTTGCTCAAATTGGTATTTTAATCAATCACGCTAAATCTCTGTGCTGAAAGAAGGGGGAAAATAACAGCACAAGACTAACTTGGAAAAAATTAAGAGATTTTGTCGGTAAATCGAATCCATTTAAAAAAAATCTTTAGGACATTTTGTTCTATCTCATAATGAAATTATTTTTAGTGTTCAACATAGATAGATAATTAAAAACATTCACCACTGAGGGATCTGTTCACCTGCCAACGGCTCAAAACGCGTTTTGAAGGCCTGACTGCAGAGAAAAACTGTTTCGATCAAATAAACTAATTTAAAAAATGACGAAGTTAAATAAATAGGTAATATTTACTACATAAGTAAATTGATTTACATAAGTAAATCAATTCAGCTAATTATTAAGCAAACGGAAAACAAGGAGTGAGAATAATATTGATATATTAGCAAATATAAAATTAGGAAAATAATGGACTTTTTGTCTAATTTAAGGCTAGATGTGTGTTTGGGTGTGTGTGTGGGTGGGTGGATGGGTGGGTGAGTGGGTGTGTGGGTGTGTGTTTGAGAGAAAGAGAGAGAGAGAGAGTAGATAACAGCTGGATCTTGATTACAGGGAATAGTTCCTCACTCCTCCTCCTCTCTTGTATCCTGTGTCTTGTGTTTAGGCCTTTTTTAACATTTTTTTCTGAAAGTTGCCGGTGCTCTGCTCGCGTCAGCATCAGACCACACTTGGTCAGGAACCACAGGGCTTCCAGACAACACGTCCTTGCCTTAACGTGCTGTCCATCTCCGGCCTGACTGCACCCAAACTGTCAGTGGCAGCCTTTTTTTTTCTTTCTTCCCCCCTATAGCAGAACGGATGTTCAGCTTAAGGTTGAGGATATGTACCAAGGCATAATGACCACCAACCACGGACCCCCTTCCTATGAAGCCGGATTTCTCCACAGCGCCTCGGCGGGCGCCTCTCCGGTGTACGTGCCCACCACCCGGGTGGTCACCCCCATGATCCCCGCGCTCCCGTACCTGCAGAGCCCCGGCGCGTCGCAGCAGGGCAGCCCGGCGTCCGGCCACTCCGCCTGGGCAGCGCCGGGCGCGGACCCGGTCCCGTCCTACAACCACTCCCCGGTGTCCCCGCGCTTCGCCTTCTCCACCAGCCCGCCCCTCTCGTCCGGGGTGGCCACGGTCCGAGACTCGGCGGTGTCCTATAGCGGCGGCGGCAGCCCGCTGAACATCTCCGCCAACGGGAGGGAGCACTACGGCGCCCGGAGCCTCGGCGGCTCCTACCACAGCCCCTACTCGGCCTACATGAGCCCCAACGTGCACGGCGGAACGTGGTCCGCGTCCCCGTTCGACAGTCCGGTCCTGCACGGCCTCCAGACCGGCGCCCCCGGCGCGGCACGGCACCCGAACATAGGTGAGCAAGGAAAGAAGAAGGGTAAAAAAAAAAAAAAGTTTAAACATGGTTTAAAACTATCATTCACTTGCCATTTGTCGTTAAATGTGTTTTAATCATGAGACACAGACATGATGTGGTCCTTACGGAGCAAAAAAGAACAACACACAGTTGTTTCTTTTCTTCTTATTTTTAAATTGGGTCTGGTAGAAAATGAGAAAAGTCGTGATTCTTAACATTAAATACCAATTAAATACCCATATTTAATGGGTACCCACTGATTTATTGAATTTAACCTGCATGAACGTGACATATTTGACATGAGTAAAAAACTGTATCTCCAAAGATTAAAAAAAGATTAAAAAAAACATCTGTTACTGATTTAGACGTATATGGATACAAATAAATATATGAATGATAATGATGGTAAAACCAGGACAGGGATGAGATGAACGGACGGGCCTTTGTGGTTCACAGCGAAACATTTTCGCTGTGAACCACAGCCTTTTTCAGGCAGACAAGATTTCTAGCAGTTTGGCTGTAAACTGAAAAAATATTCTACAGAAAATAAATCCACAATAAGGTAAAATCTGAGGAGGTTTTAAATTTGTTTCTGAAGGTTTTCGATTTTGTACCAAACAAAATAACCTCATGAGCAAAAAGAAAATGATGATATTTGAATCGCCAGTCCGTAAATATGGTTGTGCAAAATAAATGATACTTTTTAATAAATAAAAAGTATATTTAGCAACTGAACTCACACGTATATATATATTGTGTTTTTCTGATTGGTTTAACCGAATAAACGATCCCAGGAGAGCGGTCGAGATTGTTTTTACGCGCAGAAAGTTTGGATGTTTTCGGATGAAAACATTTCCATAAAAAGACAGTTCTGAATTAAAGTTCATGCTAAATTAGTTAAATAAAACATTCCAATTCCACGAGAAGACAGTTGACCTAATGGGTTTATTTCGGACTTCGTTGCGATCTTTGATTAAATCATCTCAATTCAAACCTTTGGCGGTTTGACACATGACTGGATTATATCATGTATTACCAATCTTACAATAAATTCTAATTAATTTGAGAGTGAATTCTAGCACTTTTGGGAGATTTTGGCCTATCAGCTGTCGTGGCCTTTGGATCGCTTGAAATCTGGCTGTGATTTGATGAGTATTTTACGAACAGACTTCTCTTTGAGACTTTTCGCTCTTTTTTGTGTTTGTCTAAATAGAGATTTATGTTTGAAGAGCTCTTCAGACTGCAGTTGAAGTTAAAGTCTGACCCACTATGCAAAAAAAGTTGGCCTTTGACTGCAGACTCAAGTGCACTCTGAACCATTTAGATGAGATCATACAGCACAGTTGTTCTTATTGGGTTCTTTAAAGGCAGTAAATCACATCTTCGATATTCTGCATTATCAGTATTATTTGTCTTTATTTATTCATTCACTTTTCAACGATCAAGGACCTTCTTTTTTATGCATAAGTTTTTATCTAGCTTTATATATTTTCAGAGCTGGGCATATATCTTACTATCAAAATAAATGGCTGATTACATCCCCATTATTGATTATGGCCAACTTCAGTGTTAGTTACTAATGAAGCCATGGGTGATTATTTAAAGTTAATCAAGAGGTCATCCCCACTGAGCTGAAAGAGAGAAGATGTGGAACTGAAAGATAAGGGGACTGATTCAGTCTGACTTTTTCATCTGATTGTGGTCACATTCATCATTAAAATGTGTCTTATTCATTCATTGCTTTTGTTCACAAGTGCTTCCAGTCATGCGTCATTGTTTTGCAACCAGAAGGAATGAAATCCATCTCAGTGTTTGATGAAGTGGCCTTCAGTCATGTGGAGCCCATTGTTCTGTAGGGCAGGAAGAAAAGGAAAACACTGGTATCTGTTAGGTTGTATTGGTAATCAAATTTGAATCTGCAGTTGTTTACTGACCCTGAATTAAAAAAAAAAGCACGATATGTGGTTTTAACTATAAGATTTACATTTCTTAATGATAAAAAAATAAAACAATTCTGTATCTCTTTTCCTGAGATAATTATTTGGTAGTTTCAACGCGCATGATTAGATTTCATTTGCGTATAAAAATGATAAAAAATTAATCAGATTTTATTCATGTGGATTTGTGCACATGTTGTATTATGTCTTAATTTGATAATTTTGGAGGAGCTTTGATTAGTTTTGAGAAAAAGAAAAAACCATACCATTGTAACTAACGTTAAAAAATTCATAATTCTTTTTACGGATTCATAAATATTTTAGTTTCTAAATAATCATGAGCAGTGCATTCAGCAGACTTTGTAATGTCTCTGAATGCTAGCAAACTAATAATGATAATAATGACAATAATCTAATAGAAAATTAGAACATGAGTGACACGGTGTACAATTGCTTTAAAGGCCAGTGCTGGTGAGTGAAGATGAATTTTAGCTAATAAAAAACTCAAATCAGGTTGACATAAAGAAAGAAAAAAACAAAATCATAAGATTTTAATTAAATTGAGCAGTGAGTGGGGATGTGAAGAAAGAAATACAGTACATGTGTAAAAAAAAATGTTTATACTGAAATACACTGAACTGCTAATTCCCCTGAACCGCATTCCTGTGTCCGCTCAAACACCGTACAGACAGTGGTCTGCACGTCACATTCAAATGAGTCTTTTATTTCCACTTTCACCTTTGACCTCCTGGAGTGTTTGTGGGGATGTTTTGAAGCCATACTCTGATAAAGCGACACACTGACAGCTACACAGAGGAAAAAACATAAACTTCCATTATGATAGAGGTGGATACAGCAGGATTTCTCTTGTGTATTGTCTTGTTTGCTGCGATGTGTTGGCTACAACTTCTGCCTGGCTCAAGGTTAACTCGCCCCGCCGCCGTCTCCGTTTGACTCTCAACCTTGAGGAGGTCTGCTCGCGCATGACTCCAGTTGTACTGCGCGGCGAGGGGAGGAACAGTTGTGGGCCAGATTTATGTGAGCGAGCTGAAGAGGAGTTTGTTGTGCGCAGTGAAGTGTGCGCTTAAACGCTCAAGATGTGATTTAACTGCAATTTTACGGCTTTTGTGTTGCTGCTTTCTGCAGTTTATCATGGGGTTTTCTGTCCGGCCGTTGTATGGCGGCCTGTAATGGCGGTGCGACTGCTGTAAGAGGGGAGAAAAGCCGGGCCGTGCCTTCAGCTCTAGATTGATGACTCCTGTCCCGAATGGCTAAGTGTTTCATTGGAGATAATCTGTTATGGAGGAGAAGATTACATGTATCAGATGACAAGTTATCTGAGAGAAAGAGGGAGAAAGAGATGTGATAGACGTTTGAATTTGATGGGGCTCTATACCATCTCTATTTCCAGCCGGATTTTATCTCTCGGGGAGCTGGGAGATAAGGAGGGATTCCAGGCTGCTGAGGGGGGCCCGGGGCTGCACTCAGCATCTCCTGCTGGTGTGTGACAGCACTGCAGTGTCTATGCCTGGATTTAGCCACAGGAATCTGGAGGGGGAGAGGGGGGAGGGCAAGCATGTGCTGAGGCTTCATTATAGTTAAAAAACAAATCCGGTGAACCACAGCAGAGCCGGTTTGAGTCATTTTCCACGTCTGAATGATGAAGTACTGACGTCACTTCGCTAGAATTTGCGTTAACTTATGGGACTATTTCTCATTTCTTATCAGATTTGTTTGATGACTTTGCTGAGGGGAGAGAGTGTGTGAATTGTGGGGCGATGTCAACCCCCCTCTGGAGGCGGGATGGGACTGGCCACTACCTATGCAATGCCTGTGGACTCTACCACAAGATGAACGGCATCAACAGACCACTCATCAAGCCCCAAAGACGGCTGGTAGGTGACGGCCAAGCAAGCACGATGTCATTCCCTTCTTCATTAGATACTTCAAAATGACATCACTGCCTCCTTGAATAAAAAAAGGACCACTCTTCTCCCCTTTTGCAAAAAAAAATGACGTGTTGTATCTGCTGCAGTCTGCCTCGAGGAGGGTGGGCCTGTCCTGCACTAACTGTCACACCACCACCACCACCCTGTGGCGGCGAAACGCGGAGGGAGAGCCGGTGTGCAACGCCTGTGGCCTCTACATGAAACTCCATGGGGTAAGGGAGAAAAAAAATCTGTAAATGAATCTATGATTTGGTGGAAATTTGTGCAAATATAGTCAGTTGCACAGATGTTGTAAGATCCAACAGAACACTGTACAAAAGCTTCATCGTTTTATTTTTCTGTATAAAAGATTGGCATTTTGTATCAAATACACTGATATTTTATACACTTTGAACATATTTTTCCTCATTCTGTAATTCAGCAGCAACTTGCGTTACATTCTGTTTATTCACTGCTGTTTTAGCTTTTGTCTCTTTAAACCTGCCGGAAAATCTAAGTAACACATTTTTAGAACAAATAATAACAAAAAAAAAAAAAAAAGAAAAAAAAGAAAATAAAGAGGAATTTTTTTTCTAGAGTGCTGCACTAATGGAACACACCAACTCTATGTATTGATATGTAATCTAAAGTGTGTCCATTTAGTTTAATCTCTGATATCATTGAAGTCAATACCAGTGTGTTGGTGGACAATCTGTCCAAGAGATGCTTGTTCAGCATTTTTTTTCTGTTTATCCTTGAGAACAAGGAGTATTCCAATGTGAAACAACATCAGCTGAGCCGGAATATCTTCAAGTAACAACTGAAAAAGAGAAGATCACTAAAAAAGATAAAACAACCTAATAACATGGCAAATTACTATCCTTGAGGTGTCACTGGGTGGAGACTGGGAGAGGTGTGTTTATAGGAAAATACAATTTTATACTGTTTTATGGTGATCGTTATTATCTGCTTTTTTTTTTCAATTGCATAAACTGTTCATTTACAAGCAAAAAAAAAAAGTAAATGTTATATAACATGGGTACCATCACCTCACAGCAAGAAGGTTCTGGGTTCAAGTCCCGGGGAACCAGGACCTTTCTGTGTGGAGTTTGCATGTTCTCCCTTTGTCTGCGTGGGTTCTCTCCCGGTTTTCCGGCTTCCTCCCATCGTCCCAAAACCTGCATGTTAGATTGATTGGACATTCCAAATTGCCCTTAGGAGTGACCAGGGTGTACCCCGCCTCTCGTCCATTGACTCCTGGGTTAGGCTCCAGTTCCCCCACGACCCCATTAGGGAATAAGCAGTAATGATAATGGATGGATAGTTAATGTATATGACAGCTATTTTGAAAAACAGACATTACTACAGTACAGACAAGATATTTAAGATATTTTTTCGTACGGGGAAAACCCTTCCATTGAAAACCCTTCCTATTTTTTTTAATGAATAATAACAGATTATACTGATATTTACTGACTGACGGTTCTCACTTCTTAACAGGTCCCCCGACCACTGGCTATGAAAAAAGAAGGGATCCAGACCCGCAAACGCAAACCCAAGAACCTCAACAAGTCTCAAACTGGTGCGGTTCTAAAGCACAACTCTGAACTGTCCCAGAAATTAGCACACATTTGTAGATTTGGAAGTCAAGCTGAGTTAACATACGTGTGCATTGACCTCAGTGCTGTTGTTCCCCACAGGGACTCCAGGCAGTGAGGGGACATCAGTTACACCCACCAGCACTCCCCGCTCATCCACTTCCTCCACTACCGCCACAGATGAGTCCCGCCAGATAAAGACGGAGCCAGAAAATCACAACTTGTACACACAACACAACACACACACACAGGTAGGATACTTTACGTCAACAAAGAGTCATCGTGGAGCAAAAGTCAATCAGATTTCTGACTCCACAAAGTTTAACTGCTTGTTATTTCTGTAGCAAACAAGCATTGAAAGAGATCAACAAAAGCTAATTATTACGTTGCTCAACCTTCCACACGATGTAAGACATGGGTCATCGAAGTATTCCAAAAATCCATGTTCCCTGTCTCTGTCCTTCCAGATTTCAGCGCTACCAGCCTACATGGCAGCGCAGGGAGGTGCCATTCCTCTCAAGGTGTCCCCTGGGGGGCACGGCGGGTCGTCCAGCTCCAAAGCGGAGCCCTGGAACAACCTCATCCTTGCTTAGGATACTCCCAGCCCAACATCCCAAAAGCTACCTATGTACAGTACACTAATGAGACCCTCCTGTGACGACTGTCCTCAGTCCAGATGATCCCAACCTTCAGTTAAATGATCAGGAACGAAGACGTGGAAGCCACTGCAGATGAGAAGAGATCTTGAACACTTTAGCACAGACACAGTGTGCAATCAGAGCAGCCGAGGACTGAAAAAGAGGATGAATGATTTGCCTGCAATGGTCGGATTTTGAAGTATTCGTTTGCTATTGTAAGGCATAAGATTGTGGTGAATTTTGCCTCAGAAATACAGAACAGCTGGGTATAAAAAAATTAGAAAGACTGCTAGCAAAATCTGTCACATGGTCATTGACGGAGGGGTTGCGCCAAGTATTTGTGATGGAGACGCTCGCAGCAACAGTACAGAAAACATGTTTTACACCGGACCTTAGTGATATGATATCCACAACAACACAGTTACACCACCACAGTTCAAACAGGGCAAATTACTTTTTTGTCTTTTTAATTTACAGGGATTCTTGGTTTTTCTCACTTTAAATAACAGTTTTCGACCAGCCATTGCAGTATTTCTGTAATTATTTTAGAACCTCGGTAGTTATAAGGCGGAAGCATATTAAAAGTTTGTATCTACATTAAAAAAATGTACTTCAAACACATGATGAAAAAAAAAGAACTATGACCAATCTGACCTATCTGTTATAGTAGAATAAACAATTTTCTTTCTTTTAATTTTTGGACAATCAGTCCCAAAAAATGATTGTGCAAACATGCATAAAAGCAGAATAATGGATTTAACCTAAAGCAGCCATTTTCAGTGGTATTAATCAGAAATGGCCAGAAATGGATAAAGTTAGCTTGCCTAACTCATAATAAGTTTGCCTAACTCAAATCAGTTTCAGATTATCTTAAACCGTCCAGGTACCATCACTGTGACTGCCTCTGTACAAATTCTGCCCAAATTCACAGGAATACAGCTAACAAGAACATCAAAAATAAGTACTGTGTGCTAACAGCATGTGTAAAATACTTTCTGGCCAATACAAAATTGCCTTTATCTTAAGCAGTGAACTGTCAGTTATAAACAGGATGATATGAATTTTCTCTCATGTTCCACTACTACACATGTATAACAGTTTTAGAATCATAGACTTACAGCAGATCAACATCCAGACATGACACCCATCACTCCCGCCAGCTGCAATACCTCAACGGACATAATCTACCACTCTGTGCAATAAGACTTCCTCTGTTCTAGAGTATTGTTTCTAAGCATTCTGCAGATCTATTTAGAAATACTAAATACCGAAAAGATCGGCCACCAATGACCACAGTTATAAAGGACAGCAGATAAACTACTTAAGCAGCTTGAAGGCTGTGTGGTGTGGATAGTGGACACACAGCGCCTTCTGCTGGCTTTAACTCAAATGTGCAATGGCATTTCCAGTCAACTCAAAAGGTATTTATTATAATTGGCCTAAACCATGATTCACCTCATCATTTTCATCCATGGAATGAGTTGTTTGATACACTGTGTATAATGATGCAAACTGTACAGGATGCTCGCGATGCTTTTAATTTGCTTGTCACAAACAAGCATGGAGGCAACCAATGGAAATGTCTGAAACAAGTGTAATTACACAAATGACAAATGTATGAGCTTACATATAAAAAAAGAACCAAAAAAAAAAACACCACTCCAGTATAATTATGTACTACATCATTTGTGATATATTGTAGGTAATGAGAGGAATAAAGACAAAGCATTTTGACATGATGCAAATTGTTTATGAAGTGCAAAAGTGCTGCCAGTGCATGACCTCCAGAACAGACATGAGATTTGCACCAGAACAGGTCTTGAATGTAAATCTCAAAACTGTAATTTCCCGATATGTAAATACACGTCTGTGAGCTTCCGAATATCTCTGATAAAGAGTTTGACGGTGCGTTGATTGAAGTCGTCAGTCAGCTTCTCCCTGACAGAGTCTGCATACCTGTGCTGTGCCATCTCCCTCCAGCACTCTTCAAATTCACGCCTCAAGTCATCCTGTCGGCCATCACAAACCTGAGAGGTGAAAGTGTAACTGAGCGTGAAAGCTCTTCCTCTTTCTAATTGCGCCTGGAAACTTTCGTTTTTTCCCGAAAGCAGAACCTCGGCTGCTTCAAGCATCGTGTTCAACTCCTGCGTCAAGAGCTTTTTCTCCTCCTCCGATTCAGACTCTAAAACGCTGTTCATGCTTTTGAAGTAGCTCTTCCAGTCCGGCGTATTCACTGTTGTTGTTGAAGGGAAGTTCTCTTGTTCCGATTCCAGCAGCTGTCGAGCCACGCAGAAGACTGTTTCACATAAAGGGCTGAGCTCGGCACTTTTTTCAGCCGCTTCCACGTAGCTCTCATAGTCCACACTTTGATTAATGCATTCAATCTGTTTGTAGTTAATATCCCTAAATATGTTTTCTTTGCTTCCTTTGAAGCCCCAGCATCTCATGAAACCAATATGGCTTTTGACACCGTACGCACTCCACCACTCAAAGGCCTTATGAATCAGTTTTAGCATGCAGGGCTCTGTGTTTCTGGCCAAACAGGGACTGTTCATTGTGAATACAAACACCTTCCAGTCCTCAGAGATGTCCCCTGCCTCCAGAATCTCCTGGGTCTGTTTGATAATGAGGTCCTCGCTGTGCTCCCCACTGTTGTAGTTGGGATAAAATGGTCCATACATGATCATTTCCTCTCTTTTCTCAACAACTGCCCAGGAATGCTGTTTCTCCTCTACACAGAATTCTTCTGCAAAGTCACGGTGAAATTCCAGAAACTTCCGGTTCACAGAGTCACTAAGCAACAAGTCTTCTGTGGTTTCTTTGGATTTGAGATGCTCTAAAACTTTCTTCACAGAGTTCAGTGTGTCAGCCCAGGAAGCCGTCTGCTCAGATAGCTTTGTCGTGTTGGTTGGCTGGTGGCCCCTCCGGTTCTCACTGGACTCGTATGTGTGGGTATGACCGTGGCTCAGCCTGGCATACAAGAAAAACTCATCTCAAAATGTAATAATTTAAACAGAAATGTTTAAGCAACTGGCTGTTTTTAGTTTGTGTATACTGTGTAAAAAAATTTTAAAAACCTATTTCATTATCATCTGAAAAACTAATGTGGTGTTTTTATGTTGATAAACGTCTGCAATGTGGTCCTAAATCACTTTTACTTTCACTTTTGAGGTGTCTTTAACCCTCATATTATGTTAGAAAAAAATTACATTGATTATGTTGCGGGTCATTTTGACCCGCACCATGTAAATGACTGCAAAACAGTAAAAAAACAGGTGAAACAAATAAAAAAATATGTAATATTGAATGAACCTTTAGAAAAGTGACACACAATACATTTTTAACTCCAACACTTTCTTTAAGTACTATTTTTTGGGGGATTTTCCCTCTTCACTAACACATTTTCGAATTTTAATATGTACTTTCTGCGGGTGTAATTCTTACATTTCACACAAGAGGTACTTATTTACTGTCTTCTTGGGATGGACAGACCTGGCATCCTGGTTTTCCCTTTCTTTTTCACCTGTCCACTGGGTGTTGGTTGGGGGACCTGAGCTTGACCTTTTCAATGATAGCTGCTGCTAATGCGGGTCAAGCTAGCCTGGCTCGAGTCTGGATCGAACTGGCTCTGACAGCTGTATGTTGCTGTGACTTTGTCCAGATTTTCAACTCCTCCTTTGGTGGATTTATAACCCAGGATCACTTGTGGCTTCAAGTCCTCTCTTGTGCCCAGAGATGCATCAGCTTCCATTGTACTCAATACAAGAACATTTTTGTTTATCTTTGGGCGGTATGAGACAACTGTCACGTTCTCAATGAAAGCAAATACTGAGGTCTGCCCTGCATCTTCTGAATTTCACTGAGAAGTTCTGGCTTGTTGCATCTGACTGTTCCCAACATGGTCAGCTTTCTCTTCTGAAGTTCTTCTCCAAGGCATTCCTTGTTACTTTGGAACAAGTGACAAAAGGTTGTCACAGGTGATGATATGACCTTGCAACCCTTCACTAATCTCCAGCACCACATGCATCCCCTGATTCCTCCAGGTAGCTTTTCTAGTGCATACTTGCAGATTCCATGCATAGCTGGATTTGCATCACAGGCAGCCAATATTTTGGTGCCATTCTTGGCAGGCTTGTTGGGTGTGTACGGTCAGAAAGGACAGCGCCCCCTGAATGGAGCAAGACTCTCATCTACAGTAACGTGGGGACAAGGATTGTCTTCAATCCAGAAACTTGCAGTTGCTACTCCCCTTTGGCCTGTACACTCCAGCTACTAACAGAAATCTAACGTAACCATGCAAGTCAGTCTGATCCAGTGGCTTCCATTTCTCTTGAAACACGTCTCCCCTCTAAGTTGGTCATTTCCAGTATCATCCTCTCTATTGGTGGGGATATGAAGATCTGAAATGCTGATTGAATCGAATGAACTATTGTGACGGCAAATCTTGTATGACGGGAGTCATATTGATCACATTGGAAGATGCCAGTCTGCCTCGACTTTGGGGTGGTGATGTTGGGTATTTTACACAGACCCTCAGACCCAAACCCTTCACAAACACCTGGGACTGGGTCTCAGAGGCAATGAAAATACAAGTACACTGAAGAGACATGTTTATTTTGGATCTGAACAGCTACTTACCCACATTAATGGTGTCCGGGTCAAATTGACCCGCAACATCATCTTTGTATACAAACTCTGCACAGACCCCCCCGTACACAGCAGAGTAACCAGATTTCACACACAGGTTCATGACCCCAGATGAGGAAAAGTCACCAAATTTCATGAAGAAAAAAAAAGGATAACCAGCACTTTTACCAACACAAAAACTGAAACGGGTCAAATTGACCCTTAACATAATATAAGGGTTAAAAGAAAAGGATGGGAAATATATTTGGTGGTCATTTTAGAAAGGTTTTTTATGCAGAAAGTTGAAGACTAAACTGAAGCCAGAGAGAAGCACAGACAACAGGCACCAAAAAGCGAGTTGAGGGAGGTTTGAGGGGGGCTGAAATTGTTTAACTCTTCTTCTAATTTAGAGCCATTTCTAGGAAGGCAACTGTACCTTAAACATGTTTCCTTATATTGAAAAGATAATAAAAAAAAACACAAAATAGTAATGTATGAGTATAACATACTGGAGCTCAGTCAACCACAAACACCTTTTCTGACTTAAAACCTGGTACAAGTGTTCAAAGTGACCTGCATGTTTCAAGTTGAAACATGCAGGTCACATAAAAAGTGAGTACTCACGCCAGCTGATCGGGCGGTTTGGCTTTGTCTGACCCGGCGATTAAGCGTTTCTTTCTACAGATTGGAGGCGGATCTCCATATTCGTGTGGCACAGGATGCTTACGGCTAAAGCTGCATGCAAACAGACAGGGATGATTTACATGATTTATTTACACAAACAGTGAGCAGTACATGTATAGAACATATTGAAATAAACTATGCAGGCCGGAAGGTCTGACTTAGAGACATATCCAAATGCGGAAATTTGGAAGGTGAAAGGTAAAATGTGAGTCTAAAAGACAAAACAAAGATAGACACTTGTGTGAAAAAAAACACTTGTACCTGAAAAAGTACCTGAAAATATTTGTCCATATAAAAACTGCGTATACTCACGTGGAGAAATCCATCATGTCTCCTAACCACTCTGCTCTCAAGACATGCTAAAACACAAGTCCTGCTTTCCCTGAGTGCATGCAGTTCCAGCTCAGTGACTTCCAACACTGACAACCCAAGCGTCAGTGGAATTGTCCCACTTGCACACAAGTAAATCACTTGCTCCTGCCAGCACTGAGCTCCACCTCCATAAAGATCCTATTGATACCAGACCTGGTTGCTGTACTGCATTTTCAGCCAAGTTTACACCTGTGTGTTATCAACTCTATCCACTGTTCCCCTCTTTTCGAAACGTCAAAGTTTTCTAAAGCATGCAGATTAAATAAATTAGTAAGGCATGGGAGTGTCTGATGGAAGACAGAGATAAAGATGATGCCCCACTACACAGATTAAACTGTTTTGGAGTGTCACAGTGCTTTATCGAGACTGTTTATGGAACTTGGAAGCTGGCTGGAGTTCAGCTCTTAGCCCTTCAGCAAAATACAGTGCATCAAGACTGTACATGTCATCATTGCCTCCCGTTATATGCTCCCAAAATTAAAGGCAAGTTCAAATACAACAGTTTATATGTCATATCCGTTAATCTGTCTGAAATATCCACAGTAAAAGTGAAAGTTTGTGTCTGCCTTAGCAACAATGAGTTGAAAGGTGCCGACTTCTCATATTACATTTTCAAAAATTACATCAATTTCTAAACTGTTATGTATCTTATTTGTGATCATTTGTTGTCGTCAAAATGTGTACAAGGGTTTAAAAGCTTGAGCAAACAATTTGCTTTTGCTAGACAGATATATGCTGAAAAACATGTTAGGCAAGATGTGGGTGTGTTTAGCGTCTCCCAAACATCTGTCACGGTTATTAAAGAGCTGTTAAAGAAAAATGTGGCTCTGTTTCATAGTAAAAAATGTGGAATTTATAATTCATACTGCAGGCATAGTTAAACAGACAAAGAGGCCTTTGACACAGGATCCACAGAGGTGGTAAAACACGCTGCTGCCACACAGCAGCGCTCTCTGCACTAAAAACAAAAGAGAGGAAGTTTTCTTACACCTTCAAGCCTTCCATAAACCCTTTCTCATTTGAAAATATCTGCGGTTATATAGCCTGTTATGACTTTAGATGCAGTTGTTTGATTTTTCTCTGTATGCATTTGGTTGCAAGAAGGCAATAAAACCACCTTTTCAACATTTGTATCACATTTGCTGTTTGACAGGAGACCTATTCTAAACTATTTGGATTAAGACTGGTCTTAACCCACATTTACATTGATCAAAGCTAGTTTTTAGATTAAAATTTTATGGGATATAGCTAATACTGCTACCATTCATATATAACAGCCTGAATGTGTCCCTTTCAGTTTCACTTGGCAAAAGTTTTATAAAAAATACAATCATTAAAAAAACTCCTACATCTACGCAGGCCCTCCCCACAATGAAGGATGATGAAAAAAATCTCAAATGTAGCCCTCAGTGATTTCATTCAAAAGGGTTAGGTTAGACGTTTGGATAGGACTGAAATCCTGTAGGGATGGGCCTGTAGGCATGGGCCAATTCTTTATTACTTTACATGTTACGGCAAGAAAATTGTCTCGAGCAACATGATTCATGGCTGAATTCTCCTCACATTCAATAAAGTTCTGCAGCCATTGTCAAGGCTTACTGAGACCTCTGCACACAATTAACAATTGCTAAATAGCTCAGTGATAATAAGAATAATATGAATACTGGTGAAGTTTATAACTTTTAATCTGTTTTTTTGTTTGTTCCTACCCTCAGTTAGGAGCAGGCAGAACTACTTTATTGGTCCGAATCAGAAAGACTACATAGCTCTACTGCCTTTGAGGCATGATAGGCCGACTGAGATGCTGCACGAATGTTTTGCAACCGTGAGACATGATAAATCCTGCTAATGCTCTACCTGTGGTGTCTGAGGGGAGAATGTGACGCATGATGCATTCTTCATTTAAATTTGACTTCACTGAAGGAGTCCTCTGAGAAAACCTCCTCTCCTAGCACCTTGAACACATCTAACCTTCAGTCCCTTACATCTCGGGCCTGCTTTTCTTGCACTGTTATTGAACCAGGTTTAAACAGGCACATGCAGATTGATATTGAGTTAAAAACCTGTCACTAGCCTTGAGTGCACTCATACAAACATGTCTCGTTCACTGCATGTGATCTGCATATAAAAATTGAAGTCAAAGGGACGGCTGTTAGAAACTGACTGTGCTTCCCATGTTTGGACTGTACAGTAGAACGGGCTGCAGCCTGTTGACTTGTTTACATGCAACCTGCTAATGAGGCAGCTCAGCTTAGCAGAGAGCTTTACCCCCCACACAGCTGAGTGCCAGTTAAGACACCTACCACAGCCTCATTTCACTAATCATAAATATATTTTAGATCATTTAGCATTTAAGTTTGTATAAATGTTCTTTTTGTCACGTTTTTGGGAGGAAAATATGTTTGAGGTCAGTATTCATCTGCCTTTAATTGACATAAAGCTACTATCAGAGAGTGTTTTCAGTTGGTGGAAACTGTCAGGTGACCACAGTCAGCTCAGTTCAGCCTCTTAGAGACTGTAAGAAAATAATGAACAGGTATGCTTTCTGTTAGAATAACTAACCAGTAACCAATCACAGGGCGCGCCCGGACGACGGCACATTGGGGCGGAGCATCACGCCAGGCGCTTTGGTTTCCCATTGGACCGGCGGCTGCGAAGCCACGACGCACTAGCCAATCAGAGCCATCGGTCGATATGACGAGTTTTGTCCCCGAAAGCGGTGCTCAGTTAATGGTGGTCACCGTCCCGCTGCATCCCACAGCGTCGATGGGGAGCATCCCTACTGGTCAGCACGTCGTTTAGTCAGAGTAACAGCCAGACAGCGGGGAGGACATGGACATCCTGAAGTCTCTGGGACACCCGGAGGAGATATTTAATCTGTTCAAGTTCAAAATGGGAGGATGCAGAGCCGTCATGCCGAAGTTGGACTACGTGAGTACATAATATGTATACACACATGCGTATAAGCATCTAAATACGCGTGCACGAAAGCATACGCTGAGATAAACAGTTATAAGGACGAGAGAGATGACGAAGCACACCAAGTTGCACTTCTCTGGGCATCTACGCTGTCAAGTTGCCGTGAATCCCCCAATCTGCGACGCAGCGGATTGACCCCAGACAGATAATTGGACTTCTTCAAATTAGACATGTGTGATCACTCTTGTTGGCTTGCTGCACACAGGCAGGGATGTCCATTGACGTGGGATTTGGCGTTGCGTAATGGGCTTGGAGGGTTCACGGACGAGGAGAGATGCTGTGGCCGTGTTTGACGGCTAATCCCCCCCGTTTTAACACCGGCGTGACCCGGAGTGGCAGAACACGAGCAGGCTGCGATAAAAGTGGAGCCCTCAACAGCCTCCTTCTTTTAAACAAGAAGAAAAACATTTAAAATTAAGGAAATAACGACAGAGAGGAAAAAAGTCCCCAGAAATGATGATTTGATTAAAACAGCTCTGCTGTGTTCAGACACCTTTATGTCTTTAGTAAAAGTATGCTTTTACTGCTTTGTATGAGAAGCATTTCATTTAAAAGAATGAGCAGAGCCACTATGCTCTGCTCATAAGATAACCAATCAGAATACTGCTCCATACACCATACACAACACTCTTCAGAGATAAATGGTGTGGCCTCTGTGGAGCCTCTGCTCTGGTAATGAGTCTAAACATCAGTCTGGTGTTAGTCTTCTATGGTTACATACAAACTTGTGGGAGGCCAGGCAGATATGGGATAACGAGGATGTATGAAACTCGATATGCACAAGCTTGAAGATAGTTCTCAAAGTTGTCAAAAATTCTGTCTTGACATAAAATGTTTATTTTTATCTTACAAGTGCAGGCCTTGCACAACTTCTCACTTCCCATTCTAAAGGCGCCTGTATTTTGACACATGCCTATGCCCATATGGGTGTTCTTTTCATGAGGTTGTCGTTTCATTTGCTTTATTTATATAATGCTGACAATAGTTGACTTTGATCCCATCGACGTAAACTTTATTTTCATTCTAAATGGAGTGTAATAAAATTTATTTTAGCATCGCCTTCAGAAAATGTCGTCAGCTGCAGTTCCCTGCATGTACCAGCAGGTGTCAGCAAAGAGAAACTTCATTCACCTCTGCTTACTCTGAAGAGTTGTTACTAAAGAAAAAACAAGGTCACATGTAGTCTATAATGCATGCATTTCTTTATATTTCTCATTTATTATAACGGGCATGTCTAAACTAACATTAAATTTGGACGCTTTACAATGAGCCAAATTGTTGTCATGCTAGTTGCACGAACGATATTACTGCTTTTTCTTTTCTTTTGTTAAACTGTCAAACGATCATTATTCTACGCAAAGATGTGTTGGCGATAGATTCAGTTGAATATTCAGGACGAATCAGGGTTAAGGAGCTTCATTTATTGCCGAACGCTTATTAGGAAACAGTCGCAGCTGCCATTGTTTTGGTTGGAGGTGGGAGGAGTACGTCGTGAAAACAGCAGATCTACAAACTACCCGTGCTAGCTCTGCTAGCTTGAGCCCGACGCAGGGGTCGTTTACAGATCTGCGCAGCGCCAGTTAAACCCTCCCGAACGCCCTCCGTTGGATTTCCCCCCCCACTCAACACGCTCGACCCCCCTCAGCTCGCGTGTCCTCTACATGGACTTAGAGTTTGAAACTAGCCCACCGAGCGTGGAGTCCTCATGGACCGTGTCGTGTCGTAGCCGCCGCGTAGGGTCTCTCGCATGGCCGGAGCTTGCTGCAAGTGTCCGGTCTCGCTGTCCGTCTTCAAACGCTCCCTCTCGGTGGCTCCGCGGGGCTGCGGGGCCGCCCCGCGGTCCCTCCGGCAGCAGGGCTGGAGGCTCGGGGACCGCGGCCTGGTGGAGGCCGCCCGGCCCTGCAGCGCTCTCCGGACCGCGGGCTCCTACCGACCCGCGGCCTTCCTCTGTGTGTCCTGCCAGGAGTCCATGCGCGAGAGTCTGCGGACCTGTTACGTGTATCTGAACCAGACGAGCCGGAGCTTCGCGGCCGTGATTCAGGCGCTGGACGGGGAGTTGAGGTGAGTCAGAGCCTGGGTTTGGTTTACAGGTGATGAGGGGTGTGTGTGTGTGTGTGAGTATGTGTGTGTGTGCGGGCATCAGGCATGTTTTGTGGGGCGGGGTTGGAGTTATGATCCTTGGGGCTCTTCTTCATGATGGTTTATGTGATGTAAAAGAGCTGGAACGAAAACACTGAAACCAATAGGAGTGTAAGTTTTTTGGATCATTTCTTGGTGGTGCATTAGTCTCAGGCCTCAGGAAAAACAAGGTAAATACCACGTGTGCAGTTGGGTCACGTGCCCCAAATGGAAGTATTTGACACAGCATTGCAGTTGCATTCAGTGGTCTCCTGCAGAATGCAGGTTCACTTTTATTATTCTCGTTTTTCAAATGAATCTGATTTCTTCCAGTTTGCTTTTTGTTATTAAGGAAACGTAAAAGTCTGCCATTTCAGTGTCTGCATTCGAAAAAGCTGCAGCTGCTAATTTGCTCCTCCATCTTTTTGGATCCAGACATGCAGTCTGCATCTTTTACCTGGTGCTGCGTGCGTTGGACACGGTGGAAGATGACATGACTATCCCCCTGGATAAGAAGGTGCCCATGCTGAATGATTTCCACACATACCTGTATAAGGAGGAGTGGTGCTTCACAGAGAGCCAGGAGAAGGATCGCCAGGTTCTGGAGGATTTTCCGACGGTCAGTAGCACCGCGGGCTTGCATTGATTGGACAGAAGAGGCTGTTGTGTTATTTAGAATATCTGTGGCACAGGCTAATGCTGTCGTATATGAATGACTCTGATCGTCATGCTTCCTTTGAATCCAGATATCACTTGAATTCAGAAACCTTGCTCAGGAATACAGAGACGTCATCTCTGATATCTGCCACCATATGGGAGTCGGGATGGCTGAATTCCTGGAGAAGAAAGTGGGATCTATGGCGGAGTGGGACCAGGTACGTGTTCCTTTCGTGTTAGAGGCCCGGGGGCAAAATAAAATTCAACTTACATGCTATAGCTGTTTATTAAGATTTACTGCACACCAGAAAAAAACCCTTAGTCTCACGAACAGAGATTAGACACATCTCAGATAATGTTGGGTAAATATTTCATCACTGAAAGTCTAGTCAATAATATCTGGGCAGTGTGTGTGTGTCTGTCTGTGTGGTCTAAACCACTTTAGATATCACAGAGGGGGAGGGAGACTTCATTTTTCAGACACTGTTTTAATGTTGTGCCAAAAAGGCTGTAATCAACTTTTTCCTGCGCAGTACTGCCACTACGTTGCCGGTCTGGTTGGCATCGGACTGTCTCGGCTCTTCTCTGCGTCCCAGCTGGAAGACCCTGAAGTGGGGCTGGACACGGAACTGGCCAACTCCATGGGCCTGTTCCTCCAGAAGACCAACATCATCCGAGACTATCTAGAAGACACGACCGAGGGACGTGCCTTCTGGCCACAAGAGGTACGAGCACAGTCCAATGTGTGCCTGACCGGAGGCTGACCTCCTGTGGAACCATGGTCCAGCTCAAATTTTAGTGTGTATTGTCAACTTTGTGTGGGGAAAAAAGAAACGAAAAAAGCAAAAATGTGCTCTTCATACCCTGCTCAGATTGGACATTGGTATAATATTTGGTAGCAAAGGTTTGTGTGACCTATCCTCTGTGTTTCTGCGCAGGCCTGGAGTCAGTTTGCTGGCCGTCTGGAGGATTTGGCCCAGCCCGAGAAGCTGGAGTCGGCCCTGTCCTGTCTCAACCTGCTGGTCACTGATGCACTGCGACACGTCCCCGACGTCATCGAGTACCTGTCTCGCCTGCACAACCAGAGCGTCTTCAATTTCTGTGCCATTCCACAGGTAACCGTGTGGCTGGTTTTAGCCTTTTCTCAGGATGAGAAGGCACCTGAATGAGGCAGCATATCGTACATAGATGTGGCCACAATGCCCCAAGGAAGGGGGGAAACAAAGCAGCCACATTGTCCATTTCCTTTGTTTCTTATATTCATGTTTATGTCGTTCAGTAACATAAGTTAATATCGCTCGTTTTGGTAGAACTGACCAAAGTGTCTTGCTGTGACTTACTACAATTGCAAAAGAATTCTGAGCGAATGTGTCACACAGGTTGCTTTTGCTCCATCTGATTGCAGCAGTGTTCCTCCCAGCACCTAAATTGTGTCAGACTTTTGGTTGGAAAAAGCAGGCTGTGTGATGTCATTAGTTGTGTATTTTGCTTTTCAAATTGTTGCATAGCTTCACGAATGGAAAAGGATGTTCCCTGTGAATTCCCAGAAAAACTGAATTTTTGTTCAGTGTGTGTTGGTTTCTCTTGCCTAATGACATTCCATTCCTCTGTTGGCCAGGTGATGGCGATAGCTACACTGTCGACGTGCTACAACAACCCAATGGTGTTTCAGGGGGTGGTGAAGATCAGAAAAGGGCAAGCTGTCACCCTCATGATGGAAGCCACCAACATGAGAGCCGTGCAGAGCATCATCAGCCAGTACAGTCAGGAGGTAGATATGCCTGCCCCCCGTCCGGCTGTCCCTCTGCTGCCCTGCCGCTGGGGTTCTGACCGGGCTTTTCTCCACCTGTCTGCAGATCTTACACAAGGTGTCCCTCAACGACCCATCACGGGAGAAGACCCTCCACATCCTGGCGCTAATCCAGGAGAAGTCGGCCCTGTCGCAGTCCAGCCTCCCGTCCAGGACCCACCACCTGTCTCCCATGTACCTGTCGGCTGCCATGCTGCTGGCCGCCCTCAGCTGGCAGTACCTCAGCACCACCGCGGCACAGGCCCAAGGAACTGGGGACGTGCAGGGACAGTGAACGCACCGGGGCTCGCCTTCCCCGGCGCTCACAGACTGCAGGGGCCCCGCCCTCTCTGGGTGTTGAAACCCCCTCTGACTTGTGGAACCTGAGGCGTTCCTCCCCTCTCCGGGTTCTCATTCTGTTTCTGGACCACGGGCACTTTGAGCTATGGCGGGGCTCTCTCAGCAGCCTGGTCTCGTCCTGCTGTAGTCCATTCTGCACCAGGAGCAACGCTTGGGCAACACAGTCCGATATATTCATTAAGGTTTCGTTTAATTTAGTCTCAAACCTCAGTTTTATTTCTCAACTGGGATCATCTTTCGCTCCCTATTCTTTGTATTATGACAAACACTTGAAAGTTACATCAGTGCATTTTGTCATTATTTGCACTGCTTGTAGGGATAGATCATGTGGACTGCTTCTCATTACTGTAGAGGTTTGTTTCAGTACAATTCCCCAATCCTGCTCAGTTTCAGTTGTCTTTTTATTGAATATGTGGGAAGAGAACTATGTGCAATAACACTGTAGTTTTATCAAACAGGAACAGTTCAAATGGGTATTTAATTAAGAATAAAGATGCTAGCAAAGTGTCCTTATCACAGCTTTGGTGAGTAGAAAGGCTAGCACAGAGTAACTTTGTACAGAACCAAAGGAGAGCTACAAACATTGCTATGTAATGTGACTTTCTGATTTGTAAATATTCAAACAAATAAAAATGGGGAAATTATGTAATGTGTGTGAAACGCGTGTGTCCGAGTCAACATCAATCATGTTTTGGCTGGTCTGGTTTTACATTTAAAACATCTTTTAACAAACGGGGATTGAATGGTTCATATTATGTGCTGCTCTTCAGGTTTTAGTACTTTAAGTTAGATCCCATTTAACAAAATACAGAAAAAGAACTGTGGATTTTCACTAACTGGTTCAAGAACACATTTTATTATTGTCACACCATAATTCTCAGTGACGGTCAACCTTTGTTTTGTCTTTTTCTTTTTACTGGTCACGAGATTTACGGGGAAAACTCATTTATTGACCTAACCTGTGATTCTGTGAGTTGTCATATAAAAGAGAATGTCAAGTCATTCAGGAGGAGAAGGCACTTGCTTGAGGACTCGGTTGAAACAGCAGCACAGGTAAGAGTAGACATTTACATGTAGGGAGGTGTATTCTTATTTAAGGTCTGTGGTTGATAGGAAGGATTAGGTTCCTTTTTGACTGCTGGCTGTTATCCCAGTCAATGACCTGCTTTAAAGCTTTTGATCTTTATTTCGCCCTGTTTGATTGGAAATTAATTTTTAGAATTCACATCTGGGGACTATATGGATTTGTGAACTGCATTTCCTTATGTATGAATTGATATTTCTAAAAGCCAGTTTAGAAATAGTGCTCAAAGCTTTCCTTTGGTTGTGGACTATAATATGTCAGTCGTCCCAACGCGAAGCTAGATTAAATAATTACACCAGCAGTCCTATTCAAGTTACATATCTCACATGTTCAGTGTCTTAATGCTGTAGGTCTCTAATCCCCGTGTTGTTGCTCAGGATGCATTCTTTGTTCCTTTGTGTCATGGTGACACTCACCTGCGCCTGGGCGCACCCTCACACCTCAGGTCCCTCCTCAGAGATGATTAACTTTATCAACAAAGCCAACACCACCTGGACGGTGAGACCACTTTGGATTTTCCGAGCCGGTTCCACATTACTGACAGCTGTCAAACTGACGTGTGTCTGTTGTGAGGTTCTGATGTGATTTCTCTGTTCTAATTCAACTCATTCTGCTCCAGGCCGGCCAGAACTTCCACAACGTTGATACCAGCTATGTGAAAAGACTGTGTGGGACCATACTCAATGGCCCCAAGCTCCCACAGGTGTACGTTTTTTTTTTACCGTGTCTTTATGTGTGGGCAGCTTATCACATCCTCACATCACATGTCCAGTCCAGTCAGATGATAGTCAGCAGGTTCCTCTTATCTGCAGTGTTTCATTGACTCTCCTCTCTGGTTTAGGGTTCATAATATTGAAGGCATAGATCTACCAGACAACTTTGACCCACGTCAGCAGTGGCCTAACTGTCCTACGCTAAAGCAGATTAGAGATCAGGGCTCCTGTGGATCCTGCTGGGTAAGAAAAAAAAACAGAGCCACAGAGAGTGGACACGCTGTGGCGTAACAGGGTTTTTGCCCTAGAAAGGTCCCCAAAGTTGAACCAGATTCAAATAGCTGTGAGCCAGCTGCATTTCTAAAGCTGTACTACTTGTGATTTCCCACAGGCTTTTGGGGCAGTTGAAGCGATATCTGACAGATTATGTATCCAAACTGGTGGCCAGATCTCTTTGGAGATCTCTGCTGAGGACCTGCTCTCATGCTGTGATGAGTGTGGCATGGGGTGAGTTATCCTAGGGCCATTTTTCATTTAGTAGTAGCCTATGCTAATGTGAAAACAAATATGACTATTATGATGTTTTCTCATTTTTCTATAACTTTATGAAAAAAAAAAAGATATTTCCAAATGTTTGCCCCTATATCTATTATATTTTGTACGGTCCAAAATGAACCCTGATGATGGCATCATCGAAAAAGGAAAGACTGAACTGAACTGAGAAATTACATCCTGATACATGAAGGTTTTTTTTTTAATGCTGTTGTAGCTGTTTTGGTGGTTATCCCTCTGCTGCTTGGGAATTCTGGACAAAGACAGGACTTGTAACAGGAGGCTTGTATGACTCCAAAGTGGGTGAGTTCATCACACATGGGCTGGACTCAGACCAAGCTGTTTCTGAGCATCTGCGGTGTTGAGACGGTGACTGTGCAACGCAGGCTGCAGACCATACTCCATCGCCCCCTGTGAACATCACGTGAACGGAACTCGGCCTCCATGTCAGGGTGAACAGGACACTCCAAAGTGTGCGGAGCAATGCATCGATGGATACTCGCTGTCATATCCAAAGGACAAACACTTCGGTAGGGACACCCAGGGCAGCACACACGTCACGCCTCAGCTTGTTTTCGTCCCTGACGTCTCCCGTGTCCCTCCCCCAGGGCGACGCTCGTACAGCATCCCGCCCCAGCAGGAGCAGATCATGACTGAGCTGTATAAGAACGGGCCTGTTGAGGCAGCTTTCTCTGTTTATGAGGATTTTCTGCTGTACAAGACCGGTGAGGCTTTTGCCGTGCAAACTGCTTGTGAACAAAACTCTCCCCCCGTATGTACAAAAAGTGGCATTTTTCACTATACTTCAGTCTTCATAAGGAAATAAATGACAAGCTGCTTGTAGTAACTACATGTTTAACTGCAGGCTTCCCTCATTGGTTTGTTGATTTAATTTTACCTTCAAAGCCTCGCACTTCATTTCTGGCCCAACTTGCATTGTTGTCATGCCATTCATGTTTGTCTTTTATTAGTGATCTCTGTGACCCTTTGCAATGCAGAAATATGTTACCCAAGTCTGGTTCGGCCTCAGTATTTATATTCAGTTTGTGAGTCTTGAAAAGATAAGCCTTCAATCATTAAACTGATATTTATCTTTTTGTACCCATTGCATAACAACTCACAAAGCTTAAGTTCTACGCAATTTCTCCTAAAACCTAAAGGCCTTGGATTAACACGTCAGTAATCTACCAGTATGATTTATGCTTTAGAAAGAAGGCTTTAAGTAAACTACATATGAGATAGTGTCACTGTTTTCTTTCAAGTTATCGAGTGTTTTCTCACTGCACTAGGTGTCTATCAGCATGTGACGGGGGAGATGCTAGGAGGTCACGCCATTAAGATTCTGGGCTGGGGAGAGGAGAATGGGACCCCCTACTGGCTGGCTGCAAACTCTTGGAACAGTGACTGGGGAGACAAAGGTAATTCATAACCAGAGGTATAGTCTAAGGACAAATGTCTCCTGGTCTGATCCTGTATTGTGTGTACAGAAGAAACCAGTGTTGTGTGATGGTCATTTTGTCAAAGTGATGAGAGGAAAGCATCCTGAAAACATGGCCTCTTACGAAGTTTTCTCATCGTAGGTTTCTTCAAGATCAAGCGTGGAAATGACGAATGTGGAATTGAGTCGGAGATGGTTGCAGGAATCCCACTCAACTAAAAAAGGGATGACTCCTGTGTGCAGACCCAAATTAATCAAATAACACAACCGAGCCAGTGCAAATAATGAGAGGTTTCATTTAATGAACAGGGATAATTGTACATCAGTTGTCTTACATTTAATGAAGTAATTAGAGTTGAAGAATTTCTGTATAATTTTTTTGGTGAAATTCCACACCATGATAATGCTTGTTTTCTTTGAAAAATAACATATATGAAGGACATAATTATAAACAGGAAATGCTTGGAGTACCTATCATCACACCTATACAAACTTCCAACTGTGGCAATCGGTGATAAACACATCTACTGATAGGTGCAATGAATTTAAATCAATCGGCAGTTTGAGATTAGTGAGGAAAATATTTACTCTTTGAACAGAAATTTCAATAAAAAATTCTAAAATTCCAGTACAAGATAACTTTTTTTCTGTTAATGTTGGACCAAATGTTGTTTAATTATTTATGTGAAACAGACTGTACGTGCACATGAAAGGGGTTTGACTTTTAGATTTTTTGATGGAACTGAAAATAAACCTGGAAATAACACTCTTAAACTGAAACATTCAAGTGCTCCTAAAGACATCTATGAGATTTTCTGAAATATATATATTTTCTTATACTGGGTACATAAACAGATTAGAATGTAAATTCTTTAACGTGGATTTGATTTTGTTTAGCAAAAACTGCAGTGGCCTATACTGGCACCCGTTCATCAAACCTAACTAATTCTCTTTCAGTCTGGTTAGACTTTATACTGTTGGTCAGACAGGCCATAAATATTCTTACTCATATAGGTTAGTATTTGCTGACATCTAGAGGTGATGTTGCAGACTAGTGCGATAACTGAAAAATAGTACACAAACGATCAAAGAAATGTAGTTTCAGACAGTTATAGAGAAAATATAAGATGTAGCATATTAGAAGGTACATCCGTCCACAGCAATCTAAAGTGCAGTAATATTAGTTACACCCATAACAGCCATCTGACATCCTGCTGTAACACTTGAACAGATTTTATTCATGCACGGACTGACAACACACTACCACCAGCTCTACGTGCAGATCTAATGCACTGATTAACATTTTGGTTGAAAGGATAGGACATCCTCTTCAAAGAGCATCTCCTATCCTAACTCTTACCCATACCTCTATTCCCATCTACTACTCTTTCTGCACTTCCCTCTATCTCTTTGCTGTCACCACTGATTCTGACTTATTGTCAGATTGATTACAACTGTAAGAATGTGTCGAATTTGTAAGTAACTTTGGATAAAAGCGTCTGCTAAATGCAGAAATATAAACATAAACAGAGAGCACCCTGCGGAGTGGGGGTCCTCCTGCCACAGGAGGGCGCTAACGCACCCCACCGGAGCAGAGCGGAGCCGGAAGAGGACCGAAGAAGGGGGGGGCGGGGTTTGACGTTGAATTCTCGTTTCAAACGCGATCTTCCGATAGGACGCGCGCTCTCGCCGAAAAACAGGAAGCGGCATCTCCGCGGGCAGAAACAGCGGTCAACCAAAGCCCATATGCTAAGGCCCGCTCCCAGACGCCGGCTTCTGACCAGCCGACGGGACGCACGGCGGTAAAGGAGAGGCCCGCCAACGTCCTGAGCGTTAGCTGGTGGGGATGAAGGCAGGTGGCGGGGCGATATTTTTGGAATTCTGTCTCGTCAGGTGTCTGTGTTTTTTTGCCCCCCGTTTTGTTGGTCACCACTTTTAGCTGTGTGTGTGTATGGGGGGAGGGAGAGGATAAAGTGCTTGTTGTGACCATGTATTTAGCCAGAGCGGAGCTGTGGAGGACATACTGGGTGTGTGCCTCCAGACCGTACGCGGTGCTCATCTGCTCCCTCACAGCCGCTCTGTGCTATCTGTGGGGCCGCAAATGTCAGGTCAGTCCCGGCGGTCAAGGTTAGCCGGACACCGCCACATCTCCACTGCTACCTCACCTTCCAGCTTGTTCTTCCGTCCTGTTCTCACCCCTGACTATTCTAATGATAGCTGTAACGATTCCAATAGTAGTAAGCTGCTTCATAGGTGCTTTGCTTTGTATTTCCTGCCTGAATGCGCTTTATTTAAATAGTTTAATAGGGTTGATTAAATTGAAGACTCTTCCCTTTCCTCTTTATTTCGTTTGAAACTTTTGTGTTTGATTTTATGTTTGATTCACCCAAACCTATTTAGGATTTGGGGTTATCGTTATTGTTCTTGGTTGGAGTGAGTTTTGACACTAATAAAAGTTCATTATCTGGAAGATACTGATGCTGATTCACTTTTTTACTCTTGATCATAAATGGATGAAAATCCCGTACATTATACCTCCACAGATAATGAACTATTTATGTATGAATTTTAAAGAAATGCATGAACAATATACACAAGTCTTACCGCGAAGTAGCCATGATTTAATGGCATTTAAAGGTGTTGATTGCTGTGATGCTGAAAAATGCTCATTCACCATACACTATATTAGTAGAGTGTGGTACAGGAGGGCTATAGTTAAGATGCATGTGAAACACGAATGCTGTACCTGAATTTCATTTCTTCCAAAGTGGAGAAATGTTATAAATCTATAAAAGATCTTGCCTGCCAAAAAGGTTTACTGCGCTATAAATCAGCCCTTTTCTGACCTTTAAACCGTCCCACATTTGTTGCTGACAGTTTAACGAATGATGAGTCCCTGTGCGGTCCGCAGTATTTATTTGGTGACTTTTCTCTTTAGCCCCCAGCCCTGATATGTAGCCAGGCTTTCAGCGAGTTCCTCTGCAAACACTGTCCTGTGGTGGCGGAGCGCTTCAGTCCCACGCCGTGGTGCTGGGGAGGCCGGCTTCAAACCCTTGTCTGTGCCGTTCTAAAATCCAAACCGCACGTCACGTATCGCAAGTACGAGTTCACCCTTTCTCTCATGTGTCTGTTCAATTAAGCCCATGGTAGATTTGCTTTATGAATGTTCTAATGCCTCCTCTTTCATCCCTCAGTGAGTTGATCCGTACGGTCGATGGAGGCCAGATCTCTCTGGACTGGGCGGACAATCAGGCCAGTGGCGCCTACCCCGAATCCTCCACCCGTCCCACAGTACTGATCCTCCCAGGCCTTACTGGCAACAGCCAGCAGTCCTATGTGCTTCACGCTGTTAGCCAGGCCACTCGCCATGGTTACAGGTCAGTGGCGCTCGTCTCCTTCACCAGGAAAACTGCAATCGAAACCAGAAAGCACTTGAGTGCATCATGAGGCATTCAGATTCACATTTTAACTTGTAGTTGAATGTTTTCCAGATGTGTGGTCTTCAACAACAGAGGCTTTGGAGGGGAAGAATTGTTGGTTAGTGGGACAGTCATCAATTTTAACAGTGTTCTGAAGATGTGGCGCAAACTCCCAGAGAGTTCTGGGCTACTTTATGTAACTTTTATTTCCTTTGCATGCGTCACTGACATTCTTTATTACCTAGAGAAATAATGCCAAAAAATGCATAAGCTTAGCCCAGATTGACTTGATAATCTGGAAATTGTTCAGGGAGCAACTGAGACGTGGCTGGTTGGGGTTTTGTCCCAAAATGTGGCTCTTCAGTGTGGAAAATGCATGCTACATGCTAAAAACGCTCTCCCCTCTGTCTTTGCTATTTTAAGACCCCGATCACGTACTGCGCTGCCAACACCTCAGACCTTGAGCGTGTGGTGCAACATGTCAAAGGCCTCTACCCTCACGCCCCTGTGCTCGGTGCCGGTGTGTCCTTAGGAGGGTGAGCTTTTAACGATCTAATGCGATGAACATGTCAGTTTGGTTTCTATTTCCTCTCCATGTAATTACTCTCTCTCTTGGGCATCTTTGTTGTCCGGCCATCGTTCCCCCTCCGCAGCATGATACTGCTAAACTACCTGGCCCGCAAGCGCACGGAGTCCGGGCTGGTTGCAGGCATCACCATCTCCGTGGCCTGGGACGCACTGAAGTCCGCCAGCTCAATGGAGGAACCTCTCAACTGGCTGCTGTTCAACAAATACTTGACACTCGGCCTTTGCCGTGCCGTCAGCAGGTCAGACTTGGACGGCTCGCCGGACGAAGTGTGTGGGCTTTATTTGTGATTGTGGACAATGCTTCTGGCAGGCACAGGAAGGTGCTGGAGAAAGTGGTGGACGTGGACCACGTTGTGAAGGTCAGGCTCGGCGCCACCCACAGCTCGTTCTGTTCAAATGGGCTTCCCCCCTTGAGCCCTGTGCTACCCTCTCTTCTAGGCACAAACCATCCGCGAGTTTGACGAGCGCTTCACGTCGCTGCTGTTTGGTTATGAGTCCTGCAGGGATTATTACCTCGACGCCAGCCCAGACAAAAAGCTCCCCGACACCGCAGTACCTATATTGTGTCTCAACGCGGCTGATGACCCCTTCTCTCCCCAGGATGGTGAGTGGATGACAAAATGGCAGTGGAAAAGTATCCACACAGTCTACTTGGTGTATTCACTCACATGCTCTCAGAACAGTGCAGGGTCTACTTGAGTGGGCTTCTTTTTTATTCTTCTTTATGAACGCAAGCTGGTTGCTTACCGCGCTTTGTCTAACGAGGCGTGATACAGAGCAGAAAACAACCCCATTCAGCTCCACTTCAGTTTGCTGAGGGCTAAATAAAGTTGAATTGACATGGATTTGGGTCTAAAGTCCTATTCCAGGTCAGACACACCTTTTATTACCTAAGACAGAGGTGTGGAGTATCTGCTGTTTGTATTTACCGTTGATGTTGGCTGTTGATTGTTTTTTTTTTTCTGATGGGCTGTGGGATAAAAGCGTTTTCCAATGTATTTCCTGTCCTCGTAGCCTTCCCAGTGTCCATAGTCCAGGCCCTGCCAAACGTGGCTCTGCTGCTGACCGCTCACGGTGGACACATCGCCTTCCTGCAGGGTCTGTTTCCGCGAGGTGAGAGCTACATGGAGCGCCTGTTTGGCCAGTTCGTCCAAGCTGTGTTTGAACACCAGCGGGACATCAAGAAAGCCTGCAGTATCAGAGAGGACTAGAAGATTAAACAGCTGGATTACTGCAAAGGAACACATGATTTGTCTGAAAGTGGGCCACCAATTCTGAGTTAAAAAAAAAGCCCCTAGATCCAGCTCCATATTAATGCTAAAGGATAATCAGTTTTAAAGTGGACTATGTTCCATCTCTGCTGAAAGGATTCAAAATCCAATCATATTTTGAAGGAAAAACAAACCCAAAATGTAAAGTCATAACGTCCATGGCATATGTAATGAAGCCACTGGTGTGCTAGAAAAGCATTTCCCAGTACTGCATGTCATTCCCTGCTCCACCCATGCTCTTTGTTGGATGAAAGAATAGCATCTGTATTGTGCAATTATTTGACCTCATTTGCAGCTCTTTTAATCTACCTCCTCGCCCTCTCAGGTGATATCACAATAATCACTTATAGTATTATCAAAGTACAGAAAAATTAACCAGCTCATGATCAAACATTTTTCAGGTATTTCAGAAACTTTGAGCATGTAACAGAACTTCTGCCAAATGTGAACGCGCACTGTGTATTTTACTTATATATATATATATGTATATATATATATTTAGTAGTTCTTAGATAATTTGTCAATTAAACGTGTGTTGCTTCATATTGTTTTTATGACAAGCGCCGTCCAACTCCAGATTATGCTTTTGTGTGTAGAAATCAGTTCTCGGAGTTGGAGTTTTCACTAATACCACTTCTTCTATTTCTAAGAGGTGTAACATGCCTTTAAGGATTACACTTGCATGTGTTTGCAGTAGGCCTACTTGCGACTGAAAAAAAAAAAAGAGTACATTGATGCAACACAATACACCATTTAGCTAATGCTAAAGAAACAAGGGTACATACCGGAGACTTTTGTATCTGCTGTCAAAAAATAATTAAGATAGGTTTTTTTGGTGCTTTTTCTTGTCATTTGCGCACATTGATTGGTAAAAATGTAACAGATGAAGGAATGTTTAACATGCCAAGGTTGTAACACCTTTGAGTCTACTTGATGATCTTTGAATGTGTCTTGAATGTAATTACAGTGGCAATACAGATGAGTCCATTACTTGTAGGATATGACATACATTTTAAAATAGCACTTACTATGAATGCACCTCACGTGTTGATACCAGTGGTATTGATTTACGATGTTTGTTCTTCTAATCAGATGTCACATTTGTTTTAAGACCCTTCTAGCTAGTATTGATTTCAGCTATGACCCATGACCATGAAGATTTTGCTGCACTTGTTGCTCATTGTTAGTTTTTTTTTTTCCCTAAGAGGGAAAATTTTGTCTTGGGCAGATTTAATTTATGACATTAAACTCTTAAAATTCCCACTTTAAATGACATGTATGCCTTCATTTTTACTTGTGTACAGGCTGTAAACACAGTGTATCTATTAAAGCTCAAATTTTATGGCACAAATTCATTATATTCTTGTGTGTTGCTTCATTAAGATAAAGTTGTTGAAATTAATAATATAGGAAGATATAATAAAAGTAACTTAATAAAAAGTGTTATTTGAAGATTGAACTTTATTTCTGGGTCTGAACGGTTATCTAACGGTAATAATCAACAGTAATTGCACACTGAAAAAAGATGTTGCACTCTTATAGTGTCTTTATGGTCTTTTGTCATCATATTGCACCTTTACAAGCTGCAGCAGCTCCTGAGGGTGATTTCAGGTGCCCTCACAGGGATATTCATGGGCTCACTGACACACTGAAGACAGCCTGGCTGCTGCATCCCAGGAGAGGGGCACCGTCTCAGGAGGTGGAGTCTGCTCTGGCCTCTCCTGTAAAGTGTGTCAGTGTTGTGAGTTCAGCCCAATTAGATCAGCCCCATCAGATGACCAAGTCATTTCATCGCTGTTATTACAATGGAGTGTATCTGTGGCCAGATTGACAAGTTCAGTTTGGGCAACTAAACTAGAAGTTTCTACTAAGCTTCAGGTCCAGTTGCCTAAACTGAACTTTTCAAGCTACAAGTGAGTGTATACATCAATATAAAACCCTCGATCTAATTTTTAATTAAAGAATGACATCAACTTGATTATTCCAGTTTGTAATTGCACAGCTCAGACATCGCTGAAAGCTTAACTCGTTATAAGGTCTTTGCATTCTCCACACAGGCAGTGACTAACAGCATTGCATTATTCAGTTTGGCCTTGTTTTGATGAATACATATCACCAGGCTGGCACTAATGGAAAAACTTGATAACACATGCACCACCTGCCCGCGATTCCCCCTCTGGTTCCACCTCTTAAATCCGAAGCCTTTTATCTCTGAGTCATTAATGTCGCTGATTAACCAGAACAATATCAATAATTAACCAAGAACAATAAAGGCCCACACCCTCTGTCACAATTCGAGCCCTCCAACCTCTTTTAGCTTCATTTGTGGTCTGGAAAACATCCAGTAGCGTTTACTGCATGGGGGAAAAAACAAAACAAATGGCTGCTTTCCATCATTGGTTGAGTGATCCGTGAACTGTCCTGATTGACCTTACCTTTGAAAATTTCCCACAATTCCTTCTGTGTATGCAAGTGATTGTTGCTCTCTGAGAATGTGTGAGGACACACTATAAAAAAAGCCTAAATGTTTGGATTCGCTCCAGGGTTTAAAAGCCGATGGAGGGAAGTGTTATTTGCGAAAACATAAAAGTTTACATGCTGTATGCACACTTTTCATATTGTCCTAACTTCCCTTTCCTTTTATGTCAGAACCACCCCGACATTTTATCGTGTTGGACGCCATATCAACGCAAAAATGTCACAATGTCACAATAAAGCTGTGTATTTTGTCAGGTGACGGCATGAATTTTACACCGCAACGTCAATTTCTTTTGGGTCCATCCTCCTCTCTCTCCTCCTCCAGCTGTACCTACCTGGTGTGATGGGTGGAGCCTCATGTTACAGTTAATGATTCAACCCCAGAGCAGCCTGAGACCGACTGACAGAGAAAGAGAAGGAAAGAGGGGAATCTCAGAGCTCATGTGAAATAAAAGGCAGGAAAGCTAAAATCTGATCCCTCGGATTAAGTCAAGAAATTGTGCGGTGGTTCAAAACGAAGATGAGAGACTGACGCTTGAGGATTCAGGTGTGTCCGGTCTGTAGACTGTCAGGGAGACAAGCAGGGGTCACAGAGGCAACTTCTTAACAAATGAATGTGGATTTTGTCAACAGTTCTGGATTATTGTTTGGCTCCTGTGATCCATGCGGCCTGTGTAGTCTCGACAGTTGCTCACCTTCTCTTCTGAACGCACACCGCCTTCAGGTGAGATTATCTGCTTCTGATCGTTTGTAGGGTTTTCAAGCCTGTTTCTATTTTTGGATACCTGTTGTTTCGCATGCATATTTCATGATGCGGTCTATGTGTTTGATGTACAACTTGAGTTTGCAACAATCGCATGAAAATACTGTAACTTTAAGGTGAGGATTTGCTTATCCCAAGAAAGTAATACTGTCTATGGAGGCAGTGTCTCTTAAACAGACCAGTGTGGATGTGTTCTATTATTGTATGTCTTATGAGAATTCAGCTGTAGTTACACATTGCCATGAATAATTAATACATCAGCAGGAAGTGTGCAGTATGCTGGCTGTATCAGTATAATGGCAGATAGCATCATGATCCTCCTGTGCAGGTGAAATGCTGACAGCTTTCTTCGCTACATTCCCATTTCTGCCTCTCCCAGAATAATCTGCTGCCTGGATCATTGTTTAGTCTGTTCTGACTTTCAGCATTTTCCGAATTGATCCAATACATATTTACTCAGTCTGTGTTGGGATTGCATCTTGCACTGACTGAATAAATCTGTGAATCCACAAGCAGGGCTTTGAATGTGTCCTCAAGCGCGGGCTAAAGTGTGTTTCCTTCATCCAAGCATTACCAGCATGAAACAAAGGTTATCACCTCAATCTGCCCTGGCTGTATTTTTTATTGCAGCAAGTTCCTAGAAAGTTAGCAAATTATGCAAAGCCCCTGTTGTTTGTGCTTTGCTAACAACTTAATGTCAGACCTGAGGCAAATCCTGGCGAGTTGCAACACAAAGGTAAATCTTTGCTTGACACAGGCCTGTTGACGCTAGGCTTGAAAGTTGCATGGCATTCTGTGCTTTGCTTTACTATTAGAGCCTCTTTAGATGTGAATCATTAAAGAATTTGTATGTTTATAGGCAGGGAATGCCGTACAGTTCGAATTCACCTTTTGGTTGCCTTCTTTCCCTTCCAAAATGACATTTTTTATCTCTGTCACATTTTGCCGCTCTATTGCTCTGTGACTTTATGATTTGCTTTAACATCCTTTGTAATCTTCGTGCTGTCCAATGTTCAGGGTGAGGCACCAGTAATTTGGGGTCATTTGAAGTGCACAATGACCGTAAGCGAACAGCTTACTTGAGTTTTTTACTGAGACGGACTTGTGTTTAGTTTGAGGAACAGGTACTGAGTGGCCTGCTCTTAGTGGTCATCGTTTTGAGTCTCTCAGCATTTCATCAATGACAGTATATTGAAAATGCAGTTGTGTTAATAGGTAGTTTAAATCAACCATATAATGCCATGTATATCATATCTGATACATCCTGTTTCTGGAATGCTTTGCATTTGAGACATTTTGCATAATTTAACGGTAAAAACATTGCTCCAAACCCTATGGTACACAATCAGATATACCTGATAAAAGGGGGCAGATGATAAATTTGACAAATTTGACATATCGCGTAGTAATAAATGACGAATATTTAAAAATGATTTATGTTTTTTTTTTTCATATTTTGATAAAGGGTCAAATAAAGACTTAAAAATAATTTTCTCTATTTTTTCTTGGATCAGGCTTTAAAGGGTTAAGAGAGATATTGGATCTACTGTGTGATAACCAGATTTTAAACACAACCAACAGAGGTAATGAATGTGCTTGTCAGTTTGTGAGGATGCTCACGCATTTTTTTAGTGTTCCAAGCAATAGTAAATGACAAACTCTCATATTAAAGCAGCAGCATCAGCAGAAGCCCATAAGTAAAAAGAATAATAGTATACAACAGGATGCTTCTGATGAAGGATTTCATTAATCTCTGATAGCGTTTTCCACCATTATCAGTCATAGAAACTGTAATAGATGTTTAGCAAAAGCCAGCAGGGTGTGCCAGCAGTCAGAATGCACCCTGTTGACTGTCCATCATTAGTCTGCATTATTCAGCGGCACTCATGCTGTGAACAGGCAGCAAAGTCGAGTTTTGAGCTTTCTGAAAAAGGCATAAACATCATATCACTTAATATTCAAATACAATATTGTTAGCTGTGTTCCTGTCTACATAGATATCAACATGTCCATGTATGATGCCATGGGTATTCATCATCTCTGTCATTAGATACAGAAGTCAGTGTGTATAATCTTGTTCTACCAGATTATTCCCTATGGTATTATGGATTTTCTTTTCCTAGCAGCTATGGAGAAGCAGCTAGAGGACCTGAAGCAGCAGCTGGAAAAGCAATGTAATATCAATCAAGAGCTACAGAGGCAAAACAAAGACTTAGGTGAGTACAAAAATATTGTTATACCAGAATTCCAGACGTCAAATATATAGCATCAAGTGCACAGAAAACCTCAACGAGGATCAGCCCAAACATCACTGGACGTGTTCGAGTGTTTTGCTTTTGAATGACTGCTGTACACTGACCTGCAAAATAACACACAGTGGGGTATTCCTGCGGTTGCATAATACATGGAATGATCATAGAATATTGCAGCTATTTTGCTGAACAGAATTGATAAATTAGTAAAATAATCAGTCACATCGTAAATCCTACGTATTCTACTGAAATACAATGTTATTGGTGTGTGAGGTGCAGACAGGTGCCATCTCTTTCACAACTTTCCTGAAAGTCAGGTTTCAGATTTTTGTGTTGTCCTGCAAGCAGTCAGTCAATTAAAGCTGACCCACCTGGCAGAGATTCAAACTTAACTTTTGAATTGGAAAAAAATAATGTTAAAGGACTGAAAATCTGTGACTCTATCAAGTGGAGCTAATGAACTTATTTGTGTCAAGTCTATTGGAAGATTCCTCTATGGAGACATTTATCAACTCAGTTCTTTCCTCCCCATGTTTTGCAAATTCATTATGTTTTTTCTGCTTTTTCTCCACAGAGAAACGACTGCAAGAGAAAGAAAAACTTTTGCAGGAACTGCACAGTCAGTATCATGATCTTGGTACGAGGCCCTTGCCACACACACCTGCCGCATGTAAACACACAATGCAGAGATATTTCAAGTAAATCTTTAGCCTTTAGATCATTTATCTCTGTTTTGCCTTTGCAGAGTTTCCTTCCCAGAGTGGTAATGAGGCTGAACCTGAGTTCAGAAAGAGTCGAGCAGCGGTCATAGCCTCAGAACCAATTCCAGAGAACCTGGAGATTACACGTAACAGGGTTAAAAAAACTGCCAGGTTTGTAAATGGAATGGCTGTCAAGAAAAAATGAAATCTAATTTACCAGAGAAGCAAAAATAGATTGTAATATTTGGACTAATCCTCATAAGGCATGGTGATCAATTTTCTTCATTTATCATCTGTCCTCACCAGCGAGACGAGTCTGATTGTCAAAGCCATCCAGAAGAATGACTTCCTGAGTCGCCTCGATGATGAGCAAATAGCCATGATGGTTGACCTTTTAATGGTTTCTGACTTCAAACCCGGGCAAGAAGTTATCAAAGAGGGCAGTGAAGGAGACAGCATGTACATAGTGGCAGGTGGGAACGGAGCATGTGGATTAGTTGTGAATACTTGTCTTGAAAGCATGTCAAAAATGTTCTTTTGAAAATGTGTTTTTGTTTGTATTTTTTAAAGATTTTTGCTTCCTCTTTTAGCTGGCGAGCTAACTGTCACCCAGGCAGGCCGTGAGCTTCGAACTTTAACAACTGGGGATGTTTTTGGAGAGTTGGCCATCCTGTATAACTGCAAAAGGACGGCAACAGTCAAAGGTCAGACCCTAAAATTCATAAAATGTATTTTGGAGGTATATGAAAACAAAACCATTCATACTATGGATATGAATAGCTCTTTAATGTGACACACACGTAGCATATTTGATCATACAGACATGATACAATAGAGTATGATAGAGTTTTGGTCTCCCTTTGGTCGTATATGAAATTGTAAGATCCAATAAAGTTACAACTCATAAATGCAGGCAGATATGAAAAGACAAAAAAGTTAAAAGAGGCACAGTTGCCATGGCAACTTGATGTGATGCATTAAAAGCTGACTGTGTGCCCAAGGCTTCAAATCTATATTCTTGTGTGTTGTAGTTTCCGCCAGTTGGTTCGATTTCTTTTAAACGTAAAGTGGGACATTTTGGTTCAAGTACCAAGTTATGTGTCAGTAGATGGAAAAATGTTTGAGATTTAAGGTGTTTGGCAGCTTTGTTGTGGATTAAGGGCAGCATTTAAAATCATAAATGTGTAGCTTAGTACTCTGTGGCAAAAAAGTAAATGGTCATTGCACCGCCCCAGCACACTTCTGTGCAACACAAAGCTTTTTAAAAATATTTTCATCTCTTTCAATTCATGCAGAAAATGTAGTTATCGTTACATCAAAAATTTTTCAGTATGTTTTTAGCTAATGATGCTGCATGTTATGCTCACGATGCAGCAAAGACACCCGTCCACCTGTGGTGCATGGAGCGCCAGACCTACAGAACCATCATAACCAACAAGTCCAAGAAGAAACGGGAGCAGCTCATGGGCTTCCTGAAGACGTGAGTTAATAGATGTTATTTTTAATCATTAATCTGTTGGTAAATCCCTGCCGTCACCTTTATGTAATTTCATTTGAGGCCATTCACAGAACTGTGTTTTTCCTGATTTACCAACTAATTTTTTCAACTTCTGCTTCAATCTACTGATGCAGATCTCGTACTCTGAAGGACCTAAATGATGTGCAGTTGTCCAAAATCATTGACTCTATGGAGGAGGTGCGCTCATAATGTCATCATATGAACTTAATTGCTACATTTTGCATAAATATACGATAGTTTTCAAACATATGATTATTATCAATACAAATAATTTTGGGTGTGACACATGATACTTTTTCTTTCTTATTTTTTTCTATTTACTTTTTAACTTCTCCAGGTGAAGTACCAAGACAAAGATGTCATTGTTCGTGAAGGAGCAGAAGGAAACACATTTTACATTATCCTCAAAGGGGAGGTACTTAAGTGTCCAAATTGCCCTAAAACCCAACGTTGAACAGGACTGAGAGTTCCCTCTCATTACTAATCAACTTATCTCCTTTTCCTTTAGGTCTTGGTGTCAAAGAATGTGAATGGACATCAGAAGCAGATTCGCAGGATGGGAAAAGGGGAGCACTTTGGGGAGCAGGCCCTCATACGGTAACCATGGCAACACCTCTCATGCCTGAGGAGATATGTGAGATCTATGCACAGCGTCTACAGCTCTGTATACTTCATCATCTGAATTAGGCACAATTAGAAATTATCCTATACTACACATGACTGTTGAATGCACACTATCAGTCTTTATCTGACATTTTATCCACAATGAGCAAACCGCATACTTTTAATTAACTTAAGGCAAAGCAACTTTGGATTATTATTACTAATTGAAGGGTTTCCTTTGTGTTGTGAGGCCTCTAAATGCATGCATTAATTCCACCCTTAAGCATGTAAATGCTTGTGTTGTGTAAACTTTAATAGACTGTGTTCTCCTGCAATACTTATTTAAAGCCAACAAAAATCCTGTACTAATTGAATATGCAGAATTTTCTGTACATATATTCGTATGTCTAATAATAACGTAGGAAAAGGAATTAAATCTAGCATCTTTTCTCTCTTTCAGTGAGATCTTGAGAACAGCAACCTGCACTGCTGATGGCCCTGTTACCTGCTTCACCATTGACAAGGAGTGAGTTTCATTAAACCCCTAATTTTCAGTAAATAAAGAGAATGCTCCTGTGCAGTCTCAATTTAGTCTCTTGTATTATCTTATCTTATTTTATGGCCTGCTGCTTGCTGAACAAGTTGAATAACAATTCTGATTTTTCAGGGTTTTTGAGGAAACGATTCCCGTAGAGCACTTAGAGCTCTTTGATGAGTATGCATTCCTTTTAAATTTCCAGCACCATGACATTTGAATAAGATAAAATGTTATATTTCTGCTCACATCCTGCTTAATTTCTTCTTAACTCCCAGCTCCAAAGTGATGCAGGAGGCTAAAGCAATAGAAAAGTCAAGGTGAGGGGCTCTTAATGATGATCAAAATCGGCTGAAGTCATTATGGGATACAAACCTGAATAACTCATATTTGCATGACTTTCTCAGTCCCAGCTCCACTCTAAAGTTCAAGGATCTGGTTCCTGTGCTTTATCAGGAGGGTCGTTATCAAGGAGATACTGTCACACTAGGAGTAGGAGGATTTGGTCGTGTAGAGCTGGTGAGTAACTAGAATACAAAGTATCTCTGCCTTTGTTGTGCTGGCTGTATTTGGAAGTGATATCATGATCCTCTGATCCGGAATCTGTTGCAGAAAGGCTGAAAATTAAATTAATACATTTGGCTGTACTCGATTAAGACCAATTGTTCAAACCTTTTCTCTTTTTCGTTGATCAGTGATCAGCTACGTATCATTATATGTGGACTGTGATTACATGACTGTGGGATTTAATCCACCTGCAGGAGTTTGTATTTTCATGGATATTTACTCTCCTGTGCACAAATAGTCGATTTTTTCTTTATTCTCAGATGACCACAGTGAATCATGGGAAATATTATGCCATGAAGCGAGTCAGCAAAAAACAAATAGTTGCCAAGAGACAAGAGGAGCACATGCTGTTTGAGAAAAAGATTCTCAAAGCGATCCAGTGTGACTTCATTGTCAGGTAACTACCAAGGAGGACACTGACTGCAATATATTACCAACTGTGTGCAGCAGTTTAGTGCACGTGAGACTGAAACAGTTTTTTCTCATCTCACTGTTTCCAGACTTTATGCTGCTTTCAAAGACACACGATACATCTACATGGTGATGGAGTTCTGTGCTGGGGGAGAGATCTGGACAAAGCTCAAAGAAGTGTGAGGACGGAAATACTACATAAGATATCAGCATATATCCACTTACTGATATCTAGAACATTCACTGGAACTACAAATATAGTTGTTCCACTATAACACACATGCACAGGAGATGTCTGTGCCGAAAGACAAAACAAAATCAAAATCAAAATACAATGTGATATATTTGTTTAGAAACAAAGCAAATGTCTCCATCTCTATGATTTCTAGGGGGCGTTTCGATGAGCCTGTTGCAGTTTTCTGTACTGCCTGTGTGGTGGAGGCCTACGCATACCTCCACAAGAAGAGCATCATGTACAGAGACCTGAAGCCTGAGAACCTGATGCTAGACATAAGGGGCTACATCAAACTGGTGGGTCCTTATATGATTACTCATCTTTATCTGCAAGTTAGGTTTTTATAACATGAAACAGAAAAGATAAGCACATTTTCTGCATTCACTGTGATAGGGATCCTATTCTTACAGCCTTATTTGTGCATTGGTGCCTACCTTTGGACAGGTTGACTTTGGCTTTGCAAAGGAGTTGGTGCGTGGTGAGAAAACCTACTCTTTTGTGGGCACTCCTGAGTACATGGCCCCTGAGATCATCAAGAACCAAGGACACGACTTTGCTGTGGATTTTTGGTCCCTTGGCATCCTTATCTTTGAATTACTAGTGGGAAGGTAGTAATGTCTTGAAGGATTCGTGCCTGACAAACTCATTACAAACAACTACTTATCAAAGTTTTGCATCAATACGTGATTCAGGCTTATAATTGTTGTTATGTACCAAATCAGCTTTTACAGTTGCCAGCAGATGGCAGCAGGGAAACATGAGTGATCTAAACAGAACTCAGAGCCTGTGGTCACACATATAGGCTATCCAACAGCACAACTGTTGATTTGTGAACCTTTGTTTGTGTCACTAGACTAGGAGGATTAATAAGACTTTCTCCTTTTTCCAAACTGCCAGTCCTCCCTTTTCAAGTTCAGAACCACAGAAGATTTATGCCAAAATTTTGGATGGGGTGCTCAAATACCCACCTTACCTGACTGAAGCTGCCAAGTCTATCATCAGTAAACTGTGCCGGTAAGAAGATAAAAACTGAGAAATATTCTACACCATGCTTTCAACGTACACTTAGTGTCTAGCCAGACATATTTTCTCAATAGTGAGGTAAGGTTGACTATTATACATTGATTCAGTGTGTCCAGAGTAACATTTTCCAATCAAAGCACTCTTGTACAAAATACAACAGTATAATATCTTCATTTAAAGTTAAGCTATTAAAGTATATTTGAATTTTCTCTCTCTCTCTCTCTTTGTTTGCAGACCCCGACCGGGTCAGAGGTTAGGAAACACTAAAAATGGAATCAAAGATGTCAGGCACCATAGGTAACCATGGCAACATGCCAGCCATATGAGGCTGAGCCCAAAAATGATTGTCTTGATAAATCATTCGGCACAGCCTATTCTGTTTAATATCCACTAAGCTGAGGTTTCAGACATGAAGCTTCATTGCTGACAAGATGTTGAATTCAGTGTCTGAGTTATTTGCAATTAATCATGACTGCACTGCACATGCAAAACTGTCTTTGACAATGTCACTACTAAGAATGTACAGAAGTTAATTTACATGCCTGGAATATATCACCCTTATTAAATACATGTTTATTATGTCATCCTTATTAAATACAGAATCAGAATTGTACATATTTACTATATTACATTTGGCATTATCAAATGAGAAGGCGATTTAAAAGATATTAACTTAATTTGCCATCAAGTTCTTTTCCTCTGTTATTTTCTCTTCAGGTGGTTTAGCAGTATGAACTGGCACAAGCTGCGTATGGGTCAACTGGACGCTCCGACAGTGCGACTAATTCGAAAAGTGAGCAGAAGAGTGTTTTTGGAAGATCCTTCTGAGATGAACATTAAATGAAACTCATTAATGACAAATACTGGATTTGCAGTATAGTGTTCACCTGAAGGGCAGGTTAATTGAAAAGTTCTTATTATAGAATAATAAATAGATACTGGATGATGCCATTTATTATTTAATTATAAAGTGGGAATTTGGGGAAAACCAGACAATGAAATGACTGTATTTCAGTATGAGAAATAGCCATTAAATTATTATCCAATACAATAACTGAATCAAATCAAATGAGTTAATAATACTTCTTCAGCCCAAAAATAGTAAATTCTTTTTTTAAGCGTGACATAACACGTTTTCAACCTGTGATCACTGTATTATGTAGAATGGATGTATAGAGTTCCATTCTTTTGAGCAACTTCCTCAACTTTTTTTTCTTGCACAGTCAGACTTTGGGGTACTGCCCAACAAAGAGCCAGCATTCTTTATCAATTTTTATTGAGTCACTGTTTTAGATTCTGCTGCCTCAGCAAATACTTCCAAAGTACATAAAAAAACATACACCATTTTACTGAAAACACTGCAGAGCAAAAGTTTCTTCTTGTAAACAGATCGACCACACAGTCTTCACATTACTGTGCTGGTACTTGTTCTTCAGCTTTTTTCTACACTTATCCTTGTTCTCAGTTACTATATTAAATTTAAACTCTTTTTTTATATGTACGCCTTTTGAAATCCATTGTCTATCTGTACCTGTCTCCCTTTCTGAAGGATAAGATCAGATCCAGGGTTTATTATTAAGGATACGCCTCACTGTCCTTGCAGGAATAATAATCCCCACACAGAAGTTAATGCTGACTGTCTCAAACCTAGTGATGCCTTTAATATCATCACCACGTGTCTCATAGAGTACAGTTTAGAATGTAACCTTGAATATTGAATTTCTAAGCTTTCTCAATCACAGGTTGCAGTAGTTGTCCAGATATATGTGACAAGAACCAGATGGTGGTCTGACTTCTTTCCACTGCGCCTGTATGTTAACAGCTTTTCTGTTGGCATGGCAAATCATCGTCCTAGATTATGAGAAATGCCAGTAGTACAAGGAAAAAATATTCAGAGGGCACAGATGCTAAACCCACGCAGAAACATCCTTAAAAATCAATCAACAAAATCGCTCAGTGGAAAGTCTGAAGAGATAGAAAATACACAAAGAATTGTCAGGGTTGATCCAACTTGCCGTCGGAATGAATGATGCTCGTTGCAAACTAGCTCCAATTTGAAAGTATTTTAAATCAAGATGGGGCAATTTTATAGAAATGCGAAGAATGTTTTTTTGTATAAAAATTCTGCCTACTATCAAATTTTCAAAATTTTATGTTTGACACTTAGTATTAAGAAAGCTGAAGCTACAAAATAACATGGATTATGAGCATGACAAAATATCTTTTCTACCAAAAATGGATTCATCTTACTCTGTGATTGTTGATTTAACAAAACCCTGTTTTCTGTGCTAACCTTCAGGGTCCGTGCTACATCAACTTTGATCGGTTCCCCCTCGATCAGACAAAGGCAGAGGAGGAGTTCTCTGGGTGGGACCGTGACTTCTGAATGTCATGCCTCCGACTAAAGGCCAACAAACAGGACAACACTGGCCGGCCTTATTTTATCCGGCCTCTAATGGAGCCATACATTTAGTATTTAAAAAGAAAACACACATTTAATACCTATTTTTCACATGATAATTGTGAAGCTGCAGGGCATCACAACCAAAACATAGTATGAAGTTTTTCTGTTGCTGTTCTGAACAATCCATCAAGGTGGACAAGAGAGCTTTTTCTGAAAGCGTGAGGACGAGATGTTCAGAGGTTATGTTGGCATTTTTAGTGCACGGGGATTTGGTGCATGATGGCTAAGTGTTGATCTGAGTAACACCCCTCATTTATTACGACAATAACACTCATTCAACTGTCTGGCTGCTAGCAGGCTTGAGGAGACTGGTGATATATGGCACAATAAGCAAAAAACAAAACAAAACAAAAGAAAACCCTTCTTTTAACAAATGTGATAATAAAATCCCTGCTGATTTGAGTACTGTTTGCTGTTCAGAGGATCTATGTTGCAATGATATGTTTCTTGCTTAATATTTAGCTCCTTAACAGAATTTATGATACCCTTTCTGATATCTGTGTAAAGTTGTAAACTATAAATTGTCAGATGTTTCTTCATTTTTTGATATCTGGATTAAAACATTCTTTTTGATTGAGTAAACAAAAATGTGTCTTCGTGTTTATCTGTTAATCAGCTGTATTTTTTTTTTAAAAACTCTGTATATATATTTATTTACCCACCATCAAATCCACAGAGGGAATCTGCACATATTTTCTTTTTTGGCTGCTGTGGCCAAATCCCCTCACACAACCTACTGCAGGGGTGAAAAGCATTGGAGATGCGATAGTGGACAACACTTTGGAGATAATGCTGTGGTTGTTATCAGGGGGCAAAACAGCCTGATGCTGTCAGATACTGTCGGGGAAGAAAATATCCTCGTACCATAAAAGGGATGCACGTGCTCTTGACAATGGCTGCAGCTGACCGTTTGGCGTTGGAGGTGTCCAGCTGTCTGGCATGGCAGCGGGTTTTAAGGCAGTAGGAAAGAGCCATCCTGTTCCCTCCCGTTAATGCATGTTCTGGGGTAACTGAGAGCGGTTTTCCACATTAGAGAGCACAGCTTCACATGAAAGTAAACATACCTTCCAGTTGGAAAAGTCACTCTACCAGATGTTTCCTTCCTACCGGAACAAAACACAGAACATGCTGAAGATATCAGCTTCACACACCAAGAGCGACAACAGAAGAGGCCCAGAGGATGCACAGTATGCTGCAGATATCGCCTGTGCTGTGAACTTTGGTTTCCGCTTATTCCCTGCTGACCACAGAATCCAGGTTTGTTTGTCGACAACATTTTTTTTCCCGCACAAGGCAGAAAAGAGACGGGGCAAACTGGATTAAAGGATCATTTCAGAAAAAGCTTGCGCACGTGATCATCTTTCTTGCTGTCAAGAGTTCCTATAGACAAACAAAAAACAAACATTTCGTTAATCTCTGCTCTCATTCCACACTGTCCAGTGACTTCCGTTATCTTCTGTTGACACTACAGAAGGATTAAATGTTAAACCGCTGTGTTTCTTTTTTATCTGAAGAATCAGCTTCAGCCAGCTTCCCAGACACTTTAATTAAGAAGTCAATAACTTTTGATTTATAAATCACCTCTCGAGATCTAGATTGTGATTGGGTTTTTTCTCAGAAGCAAATGCAAAAGGAGAGAAGATGACAATAAAGATAAAACAAGTTCAAATCAATTACTTATTCTGACAGTTCCAGAACAGAAACTGAAAAAGGGATGGTTCTCAAACTAGACCAGCATATTTGAGTGACACGCGACAGAAAACTCAATTCAGTCACAAATACGACAAACTGTTTCGAAAATCGAAATATTGATAGGTTATCTCAGATATGTTATCAAGTTGTGTTCTATCACACGTGTCAGGTTAGTTAATGGTGTGTATTCCTTTTGTTTAAATGATCCTGGTCCCTAAACAGCCTAAATGTTCCAGTGGGCCAATTACTCAGGCAAAAGAGACGTTTGCCGATAATCAGTTTGGTGCTGTGCTGTTCTGACTTTGGGTATTTGGGTAGCTTTAATCTGAATTGTTCTCTCAACTGAAGATATAGATTTATTTTGAATCATCAGGGACAGGCAACAGCTGTTGTGGGATGAGGGCTTTTTGATGCCTGGACCTCGTGGCTGGGTTTTCTCTGCTGAACAGGGTTGAACTGATTTGACTCAGTGTTCGCAGCCTTACTGATTAATTATTGTTTGCACCTGAGTCGGAGCTACTTAAGCTCCTCTGCTTGCTCGCCGCTTTATTTGCTCAGTCTGGTCTCTTTGTGGAGAGGTCTGAGTGGGTTTTTCTTTTCCCCCACTGACCTGTTGAATTTCTGTCTTTCTTCCTGTTTGCCGGTGTTTTTCTTCATTGCCCCAGAAAATAAACAATTCTAGCCGGTCATTCAGTGTTTGTGTGTCACTGTCTTTTGTGCCATCTTCTATTTATTTCAGCTAGTTTCCGTTTATTTATTTTAAAATGTGTCATTTTACACAAAGGCACGATTGATTTTATATTCAAACCTGGGTCACATGGTTTGTTGACTGGCATTTTATAACCTTAGGCCGAAGGGAAGTTTAGTTTGTTGTGGGTCTCTCGAAGGAGTTCTTATATAACCACTTCAGTCAGCTGTCAGGACACAAGCGTTACACAGCTTATACAATCAGTTCTCGAAAAGAAATGGCAATATCACTCCATAGGAGGTGTAGAGAACCACTAGCCAACCTTGGCTTCCCTCCCTTTCAATTCCATTTCAGTCTTGTTGGAATTAGCATTGTTTAACACGCATGGTGTGCATGATGTGCATTTTTTATTTTGTACAGTGAGATTTATTAGCATTTTCAAGCATTTCTGCAAGTCGTCTCTTAAAATTTGCAAGCTGTAAATTTACATTCAATACCCCTTCAAAAAAGTTAAGCTTTTCCATAAGTGGCATGGAGGAAAAAAACAAACTAAAGGCAACATTATGCTGTATCTGTAGTGCCAAAGAAACTATGAAACAACCAAAATATTCAATATTTGATATTTTGAAACCTAACAATGAAGTAAGAAAGATTATTTTTCAACTGCTGTGAAAATACAGCAGTATAAAGATAATCTTACCAGACAGCATGTTCACCCTCTACTATGTGTAGCTGCAACTGGTAAACTAAACAAATAACCTTTTTTTTTTTTTTTTTTACTAAACAACAAATGGAAGGACCAAAACCAACCTTTTTCAGAAAGTGTGGAGATCTCCAGCTGCTCAAAAGGACCGCTGGTTTGGCTTTGGCTCTGTCTATTTTGGACTGAAATCCTACAGCTCATTATTTTTTTCTAAGGATCTCTATTGGACCCCTCTTAAAAGCACCAGGACCGTGCCAAAAAAGAGACAGCAGATTGTGCTTGTCAACTATAGTTGCAGAGAACTGTTGGCTTTCATTTGTTGCTTGATGAAAATAGAATGTAGGTTTTAAAGCAAATGCTCCACCAGAAGTGTTCACGTGGCAAAACCCTCTGGTGGCCACAGCAATTACTGTGGATGCGAATAGGAAGTCAGGTATGGGCAGAGTAACAATGACCACTCAGGGAGGAAGCGCGTCTGCAGAGCAACAAAACAACACCAATGCTCAGCAGTGTTTTCCTGTTGTTGCAAGCCATTACCACCCTTATAGGTTTTTTTTTCTTGGAGTATATGGCACAATAACAATGACTGTGTGTCTGTGTGTAGTTGCACTGACTGGCTTCACTATAAAACAAGACTGGAAGCACATCGTGTCTCATTTATTGAGCCACATGTTGGAACTGGTCTCCAGCAAACAGAAGCCAGGTAAAGTGATGTCTAGATGTCCTCTCAGCAAGCTGAGGTTGCTAAGCAACCAATCAAGCGCAAACTTAAATTTAATCAAAAACCAGAGGAACCAATTTCCATCCATTTTCCCCTTGTTTATCGAGTTTACACTCAAGGGGAGTTGGAATCTATACCAGCATATGTTCCACTCCTGATAAGGTTTGGCTTCCAGGTCCTTGGGGTTTAGTTTGATAATGAAACAATACTGCTAGATTGCTTTCATATGAAGCCTTTAGTCTTCGAAAGTCTCCATTCTATTCTTTCATGACACTTCGACATGGCGCTGGGTTTATGTCATGTACAGAGTTGCAGCCAATTAGAGAGTTTGCCTACTCATCAGGTGTGAACTCTTGTAGCTTTCCCTTTCAGAACTAATTAAACTTGATTCATTTTGTCTACTTTGTTAGAACTAAGAACAAATACAGTGTTATTTATTACAGGGATTACAGGTTAAAGTTAAAGAGCTTCTCTCGGAACGCACCCAAACAGCCATATGCAACATCAATTTACTGAAAGAGTAGAGCTGTGGCTGCCTTACAGAACTGAGGGAGGCTGCAGAGATAACTATCTGAGAGTTTGCCATGCCCATCGGCACCTTCACATGTGCAGGGTAAAAATAATCCACTGTATCGAATGCAGTGGGATCCTTTTTATTTAGTTTTTTCCTGATCTTGATTTGTCTCACGGTGTATCACAGAGGCAGACTTGTAAGTAGATGACAGAAATTATTGGCCCTCTAAGCAAGCTTGGCAGTCAAGCTACTTAACAGAGATGACAAGGAGCTGCCATGCCGTAAAAGCGACATATGTCCTCTGCTTTGAATGGCAGATGTGCCTAACAGAGTTGAAATTCTTCTTGGCATGCTCATGTGAAGTCAAAATGATTTTTGCCTTGGGAGTACACAGCCTGTAAAATTTACAGAGATTCAAATGATAAGTTTCAGGCACTGAATTAAAGGGAATGCTGAGATATGTCTCACCTTATGCAGTATCAATGGGAGGATTATGAATTGTCATATTTTTAATTACAGCCACAAATAATGATGGATTAATAGTAACTATGGGCACTGCCTATTTTCTATCACTGCATTCAAGGATACCCTCTCTAAATATAGCCATTCATGCTCCACAGGGAGTACGGCAGCAGTAAAGGTCAGGATGTCATTTATCCTCTCAGCTTGAGAGGATTTCCTATCTGCAACAGCCGGACATGGCAGGAAAATGCAGTGAGATTCGATCAAAGTTTAAATAACACTTTTCTGACCAAAAGCTGTTGTTTGTCTGGGTCACCTTTGGAAATGGCATAATGTAATCAAGATGGTGAATGAAAGACCTTTAAGCTCTTAAAGACAACAGCAAGCAGCCCTGAGGTTTAACAGGGATTGAATTAGGGGCGTGCATCGGCCACACAGCAGTTTTACTCTCTTTTTGCATTCCCTTCCCTAGGCCAAATGTCATCTGATTTTGAACTTTTCTATATAAAGAGTCTTTGTGTCAAGTTTAATTTTGATAGTGTTGTGAAAATGACCAGACTTTCTGATTGGCCTCAGAACTGGGATGCTCAAGAGTTTATAAAGTAAGTTTTTCTCTGAGCTTTGATCTGAAAAGGAAACTTGAGTAAGAAAAAATAGTCAAAGAAGTGTAAACCTGCCTGCTTATCTGCACATTTATTATTGATCTATTTTCACTCCCATGATACCAATTTTATAAGTGTGTACAAATTCAGTTTAAAGCTCTGATCTATAGCTAAAACTCACACATGGATTTTGAGAAAGAAAAATATAAGAGAAGGCATGACGAAGTCAATTAATAGCTTAATGAAACCATGGAAGTGGACAATCTGTGAGACCTTTTATCAAAAAGAGTGAATCACAGACACTTCGGCTGTCGGCTTGCTGTCGGTGTGTGAGGTAACCCGGCCTGCTGCTCTCACCATGAGCCTCTCCCACCTGAGACGGTGGTGGCTAGAGGCTGAGTCACTCTTTGTCTCTGATGTCACAGCAGACAGAACTGCTAATGAGTAAAGCCCTTTTTCAAGCAGGCTGTGTCTGTGACTCCCTTTGTTTTGTGCTCAAATGCACCACCAACAGATGTTAGAGAAGTTTGTGAAACAAAACAAATTAGAAGGCTGTACTTTATGATCTTTTAAAGTGCCGTCAAAGTACTTCGGATTGCGTAATGTCTATGTAAAGTAGGTTGACATTCAACTGTGAATCATTCTTGTCCTTCTCTGAAGTCGCAAGCTCTGGGTGTAATTTAGCATTTGAGGATGTGCTTATGCTCCTGCCGGTCAGATGAGAGGGCTGGAAGATGATGTACAATGTCACTCTCCATCACCGGAGCCATTAAATCACAGGCCTGTTTTGTCCGAGGCAGTGGCCTGCGTGATCTTTTTCCTTATAGTTCTTCATTTAGCACATAACATCCTGAGACACAAATGACGGAAATTTACACTCAAACACCAGGGAAATGTTCAAATACAAAATGTATTAGGTAAAGGATCACAAATTAAGTGACGGTGTCAAGGCAGTGAGTCATCAGTGGTAACCCTCCCCGTCCACGCTGTACTTGTGAACAACGAAGAACATTTTGTAACTTGTGACTCAGAAGAGGATGTCAAACCAAATGTATTATGTTGCACTGTCTCACAATGTCTTCATTGAATTATTGCATGTCATGTCCTTTTTCTAACCTTCTTCTTTTGCTGAGAAACCAGCAGGTATATTAAGGGGTTTTCTGTTTTATTTTGATGTTAAATGCACGGTATAATTTCAAAAGAGGTTATATTCCACATTAGTCCCATAACAACAGTAACAACAACTGAATTACAAGTGTCCCCCGGGTGACTAAATACAGACTTAGATTTTTCCTCTAAGCTATAAATATCTACATTTTTTCCTCATCAGTCTCTAAATGTACAGTTAATTTTGCATGAACTTCACCATCTGCTTAATGTTCAGGAATTAAGAATGAGGTGCATCAACAGAATTTGTTCTTATCAAAGTATCCGTTCATCTCTGTGTTTTTGTATATTTGTTGCCTAAATAGAGCCCTTATGATGATGTGATTTTCTAAGATCCAGCAGTTGCCTTGCGCACCAACAACATAATAACATAATAATGAGTAAATAGATAAATGTTTCTAAGATTCTGGTTAAATTGAGAGTGTGGTTGTGTCTGTGGAAGGAAGGAATAATTTTATTGTCTTCATATAAAATATTTTATTCTAAACGGTCAGAAAGTGTTAAGATTTGTGATGACATAGCAAGTTTAACATTTTAACACATTGAAAACATACAATGCAATAGAGTTGTTCAAATCATAGCTAAACCTGGGGTAGTGGACACATTGTCACTTTCAATGTTTACAGATTCATTAAAGTAGCATGCAACTTTAGCTGATCTTTTTTAAAATATTTTTTGTGACGAAAAATGTGCATGTCTTTCCCACACAGGGTTATGGGTTTAGAAGATTCTCATGCAAACACTTTACACTGGCTTAAAAAAACAAACAAACAAACAAACAAACTAAAAAACTTGATGATGACAAGAGATCTTGAGATGGCACTTTTGTCAACCAAAATAATCATTATAACCAGCTACAACATCGTGTATTCTGGAATTAGCTATGGCTATATACCAACCATTGGTATATAGCGTAAGATCTGAGCTCCTCTGCTCACATTAATGGCAAGATTTGATGATGATTCTGCTTACATTCATAATGAGGCACCTCTCTGCCATCATGAATGTGTAGATACATTCACTCTGCTTGGACTGGGATTTTAAAGTGAGCCACTGACTTGATTAAAACCTGTCACCATGGGAAAAAATCTCATGGAAAGCCTGTGTAGGTGGAAACATAATGAGTTCCTTTAAATCAAATGCACATGTGCAGTCAAACACTCGTGCACATACACACTTGCTGTCAAGAATCATCCACACTTCTCAGATGTGGCCTCACATGGCCTGACATGTTATGTAACACTTCGCTGACAACACGCCCCGGCTTTCTGCAGCACAGACAGGATGTCAGCCGCATGACTGACTAGCAAAAAGCAATAAGATGACTTTTTGGGGAATGCTTAGCGAAGCTACACTCAGGCCGGAATGGTTCCCTCAGGAAACTCAGCATTAATGAAGACATAATCGTTCCCTCTGTGTATTGCAAGTCAGTACGCAGTTAGTAGAAGGTATTGATTGCTTTTAAGAAATGCAACACATTAATCATGTTGCCTGTCTTTATCGCTTCCAAAAATCTGTCCTTTCATTCATCTTCTTTACTTCTTATGATCTGGGGGAGTCTATGACTTGATAATATGTGACAGCTTGAACCCTTGAAACAAACACAGGATGAGTGCTCTTGCTATGGACAACCTAAGAAAAAATATATTTTTCTTTTAAAGACAGCAAATGTGTAATTTACTTGCATTCAGTGTGTCATGAACCTACACCACATGACAGCTTGTACAAACAGAAATTCTCCATTACACTGTATCATACAGGTCACGCTCGTTTCTTTTTCCCCTTTTTGGTTCTCGGTTGGAGGTAGCACTATATAACTACTGGTATTGTTTTTGGTACTGCCTCAGTGAGAAATATCAGGTGTAAAGATCAATGCCTCTGCAGCGTAGTGCAAACACACATCCAGACAGCCTTTCACGATCTCTGAAGTCATACTAACATCACAGTTTCCAACATAAATAAATAATCTCTATTTTGCTCAGATTTGACATGCTGTGTTGATGACTAATCATCTCATGTGGATGTTTTTATTCACCCGGAAGGATTTACAATTTTTTTCCCCTCTCTGACCAGGGTCAAACATGGGAGAGGTCTGTGATAAGTCCCAAAAGAAATGGTAACCCTTGTTTGATTAAATCTGCCACAAACTCATGCATCAACTACTCTATACTCATTCCTCACTACTGATACAATTTGGATAAAAGTGCCTGTCAACATAATGCAATAAACCCACAAACAATTTGTGTTGCCCCAGCTACACATGCATAGCAGTGATAAACACACAATCTGGTGTTCTACTGTGAAATGGTCACGAGTTATGCCGCTGGGTTTGGCAAACCAGCACTATTTTAGACTCTGGCAATGATAATGATACTACATGTTATGAACAGAAAAGATAAATTGACTGTATCTTCAAGGCATTCGATCTTTTCTGAAAGTTTAATCACAATAAAGCATCCAAAGAGGGCCATATCTTAATAAACTATGTCTTTTTCACTTCAAAAGCATAAATTCTTCAGTCACTGCAGTAATACAGAATATTTAAAGGTTTGATATGATTTGAATTCAGACATGGCAAAACATAACAGACCACATCTTAAAAGATGATGGAAATGTTCCCCAACTGGTTCAGACATGGCGGGCAGACAGGTGGAGATGTGCCTCAAAATCTACAGGTGCTTCATTGCTACAGCAATGTGTCAGGAGACTAACACAGTGTTCACACACCATGCATGTTTTAGTTTCATGGATAAAAGCAAAGACTGGTTCTGAATTTTTTTTTTAGAAAATTCCATAATGCACTGGTGCTTTGATCAGACTGAAGACCTGAAGACATTCAGGACAGTTACTTTGGCTTAGGGGAAGAGTAAAGTCGGGTAAGCAGCTGCTGCATGGTGAAGTTGGTGATGCTATCTCAGCACTGAAAAGCTCTCCCCAAACATTTGAAGAAATTTGACTTGAATTTGACTTCATGGAACCGATTCTCATTTGTCATGCATACCAAAAATTCTGTTTTTTCATTCAAGAAGATTATTAAGAATTCAGTAAAAATGTTCATATTTTCAAGACAGATCCTCTAAATGTTCTTACAGCTGTTGTGCTCAAATGTGATTGGACAGTTTTTCATGTGGCGTTGTCCTCACATGATCAGTGTGGCTTTCAGTAAGGCACCATTGGATTATTCCTTAAGATGAAAAGATTTCTGTCAATTAGAATGGAACTCAAATGTCAACATTCTTCTCTTTAGTTAGTGCCGGTTAGCTAGCAGATGCAAGGCATATAAATTGATAATGAACGAGGAGTAAAGTATAAGAAAGCAACATTCCTTTGATGTCGGCACGGGATTGCTTCCTTTGGAGGACGAGAGTTCAATGCTGACGTTTTTAACAGTGAGGCTCCTTGATCTGATGCAGATTTCAGGAACCCTAGAAGTCCAACCCGAGATCAGCACAGATGCATCTATTGCTTCCTACGTTTCAATGAATGTATGAGTTAGAGGGAATACTTTTTGAGAAGACGACATCCAGTGTGCTGCCACCTTAGCACTGGTTTCCATTTCCTTCTGGCTCACAAAAAAGTTAGTTCAACTCACTTCTCGCGTACAATCAGTTGTTCCAGTCTGCTGCAGTCCGTACTTTCCCTTTGGCTCAAACACTGATACAGCTGGCAGTCATGTTGGCAGGTCCAAAATGACTCTTTCACAGACTAAAGACAACCAGTAGGCTTTTATGTGCAAGAGTTTAACACACACACGAATGTGCACAGCCTTATGATTGATCTGTGCAGGAGTGTTTACATCACTAGAGCACAATCTACTAAATGAATGCACATGGGTACCCTTTCGTGAGGCTCAATCAATAACCACAGATGCATGTGTGAGTCTTAAACAGTTCTCTGGTTCTAATCCTCATGCTGGCCCTCATTTGAAGTTTTCAATGACGGCGAGCTCCCGCCGGTCGGCGTAGTCTGGGCTGAGGCCGTTCAGGTACAGGCTGCCGTTTCTGGCCAGAGCCCCGGGTACGGGACTGAGAGAGAGAGTGAAGTTTGGGTAAGACTCTCTGTCCTCGCACAGGTTGGCTGACAGCGTCCGCTTGCCAGGGGTCATTTCCTGGTTGATGGAAGCGTTGATTCCCAGCTCAGACGACAGCTTGCGCTTGATGGACGCAGCCCGCTGGAACTTGTCATAGATGTCAACACTGAGACGCCTGCGGGTCTCTTTGAACTCCGCAGATACGTTGGCCGTCCACTCAGCCGCGTGCGCGCGGAACTCCCCAACCTGCAGCAGCATAGTGAAGATGGATGGCCGTTAGCGATGTGGATTTACTCTTGTTCGTACCAGAAACACAGTGGGCTTGAGATTTGAGTGTATCTGACAAACACTGAAGTGTGTAACGTAAAAAACATTGCTGTAAATAAGGTATTTGAACTAAGCATGAGCCAGCATTAACATGCCTGAAGGCAATTATTGTTGTCAGAGTCATTTAACAGAAAATACTTCCTTATTACATGAACAACTGACGGCTGCATAGCTGAAGGAGTTCACACTTGCACTCAAATGTCATGTACATTTATGTACTCTGACAAATGTTAAACAGTTTTTCCCTCAAGCATTTTTCCATATGTATATATATAGCCTGTAGACCAGTATATAAAGAAAACCAAAGAATCTTGAAGATGCACACAAAGATTTATGGATTTGTTTGCTTTTGTTTTGCACACTTATGAGGCACTGACTATGACTGCTGGTAAAAGATGTCGCCAAACCAGTATTTAACAAATTGGATATCTTTTTGAGGAAAATCTACCTTAAAAAAACTAGAAGACATTTGACCAAATGAAACAAACGTCTGGAAGCTACATTGTACCTGATATAAAGTGCATCTGGGGTTATAGATAGGTCCCACCTCTGGGATGATATATGCATCCTTCCCTGAGCTTTTTTTTTACTAATCTATTAGTCTATGAGGTGAAGAGGAGGGTGAAGAGGCACTTGAAACAGAATTTATTACATATATGTGAGCACATTGGAGAATGACACTCCTCTCTGTCTTCTCCCTTTCTCTGCCTGCTCATCATCAGCCCTTCTCCTCTAAAACGACCTCAAGCTGAAAAACCTTTTTACAGTAATCTAATTCTCCGCAGACTCACAGCCTCTGCAGCTGTACACTTAATTATGTCAGTGGAGGGATTGGAATACATGCAGGTTTCCATAAGCCACCGAACAGACTTATTCATGTCACCTTGAATGAAAAAATAAGACAAGCTTGTTGTTGGTTTAAGCAGAAGAGTCCGTGCGGATGTGGAGTTCTCACCGCCATTTGCATGAATAAAATATAAACCTGCCACAGCAACAAGCTATGTTAATACTAAACTCCATCAGACCTCCTGCAAGATTGTATTTACTTCACAGAGCACAGCCAGGATTTATATTCATCCCTTTCAATTGAAGCAGTACAGAGATAAATGAAAAACATTGAGTTGGCGATGGGTCTACCACCACCAGTTAGTGACACACCTGTGAAGTCACTGCAAATGCCTTTCCTCTCTCAGAATATTCTATTTGCTACTCATTAGACCGGGGAAGATGTGCTCAAGGTTCAATTTGAAGAAAGGGACGTGTTGCATTTGCAAAGTTCTGAGAGGGTTTCTTTTTCAAATGAACATGATTGCTTCTACCTGATCTCTGGGTTACAGATCTACTTTAAAACTCTCACAAGAAACAGCTCTAATTTCCTTAAAACCAACTTGGCAACCTTTAGGAGAGATCATCTATTTTATTTGGCAAGATGATGTGCACTTCAGAGATACATTTCCTTTAAACCACTTATGTCTCCTGAGCAAAGCATAGCTCAAATCAGCACTTACCTCCTCTTTAGTTTTCTTGGAGATGACCCTGAACCAATCTCCGATCATGCTAAGCACTGCAGCAAAGTATGCCAAGCCCACTAAGATCCAGAACCACACCACGGGCTTGTAGTAGTCGAGATACTCCAGATGTTCTGTCCCACCTGCAAATGAAATGACACGTAAAGAAGGTTAGAAAAGCTCCAGTAATCATTACGAACATACATCTTTAAAGAAAGATGCTTATGGAGTGTGAATATATAATGAAATTTGACATCTTTTTAACGTAATACAATAATATCTATGTGAATATGCCCTTGAACCTTTATCATTTTTGCTCTCGTCTGGTCTGGTGTTAATGGAATTTAAATAGGACAAGGCAGCTTCTGGTTTGTAAGTAATCATGCAGCAAAAACAGCACTTATGTTGTTGGAAAGTGATTCATTATGGCACCTTTTTACCTCACAGGAGTCCAGGCTGATTAAGTTACTGTAACTACTGAGGGGTTGATACAGGGGCGTTCATCTCATCTATAATCATTAACCCTGCGCGGGAGTTTAATGGAGCAGCTAATTGTTTGTGATTTCTCCCATCTGTATTTTACTTGTTATGAGCTAAACAGGTCAAGTATAACTAATTCAACTAACTACACATACTTATACATACAATCATTTGAAAGACATAGAGCTGAATGAACGCTTTTTTAAGGTTTCACGTATTTGTGCTGCCCATGTTCACATATATAGATCTAACCAGTGTTTGCAGCTAAATGTCACAGCAAAAATATCAAACAGAATCTAAACTGTTTAATCCCAGAGGGTGGACATTGTGGACCTGAGCAGATGTTTTGATACAAAGCTTGTTAAAAATTAGATAAAGAAGTCTGATGGTGCCGTTTAAAACGTACTGAAATAAAACTTTTAAATACAGGCTGCAGGAGTCTTGATCAATGAATATTGCCTCAGTTAAATCTCAATTTTAATCTCAAGCTGATGACTCCAAGTAATTGATTTTGCAGCTTTTAGACTGATTTGAATGAGATGATCAGGTGGTCAACCAATAAATGTTGGAAATAAAATCCTGTTAGATTTTATTATACTCATATATCAGTGTTTGTCAATATTTTACAAATGTTATTGGTCAACCTTTAGAGTTGAAAGAGACTAATTCAAAAATGGATTCAGCTTCACTCAACCAAATGGTTTAAATGTATATTTTACTGATTAGATACAGCATCACCTGTGTATAATTATAATTATAGTATAAAATAATTATAGTTATTATGTGCAACTAGTCCTCCAGTAGAACCAGGCACAGTTGTGTTTGTTAATACCCTTCAGAGAAGTTCAGAACTACATCCTGTGAAGCCTCATGCTTACAAGCATTGGAAAGGAAATGACCGCTATTCACTTTTCTCAAGTCTTTTGTGTAAGAAACTGTAAATTATACCAAACGCACATAAACAATTTATTTGACGATGGCAGAAAATGACCATGGTCAGGTCTAAAATGCGTTTATTTAGCAATGCAGTCAATCATCACAATTATTCATGTAATTTTGCTAGTCATCATGTAATCATAAGGTTATAAATGCAATTATTCTAATGGAGTTGTCAGATATGCAAATGAGAGACAGTGTACAAATATTTTAAGCAGACACACCCTCAGTCAAGTGACCTTTCTCTCCGGCAACAAAGTCTCCAAAGCCTATGGTGGTGAGGGTGATGACGACAAAGTAGATGGACTCGAGCGTGCTCCAGCCCTCGATGTGCTTAAAGATGACAGCTGGAAGGGCCACAAAGATGAGGCACCCAAACAGAATGAAGAGCAGCGTGGAGATGACTCGGATCTTTGTCTGGCTGACTTTCCACTTCTGAAAAAAAAAAAAAAGAGAGAAAAGAATCGCTGGCATTCACGATCATCTCAGAAATTAAGCTTCCAATTAAATGAGCTGAAATGAGGAGAGATTGCTTCTTAGAATAAAACTCTCTCAGCAGGGTAAAATAAATCCCTGCAAACAATGAGTGTAGTTTCCCGGGATAGATTTGTTTCACCCCAGTGTTTGATGTGTTGTGTAGAATTCTCCTCATTCTGAATGTGATTAAAAAGAAACATTAAAAAGACACACCGTTTATAGTATCTTCATTCTTTTCAATTCAAGGTGCAAAATACGTGTTATTTTCTTGCTGTATGTACTTTGGATGACTTGATATGCCTGCCACCTGTTGTAATAGGCATTGGCATTATATTTCACATAGAGTCATCATAGCTGCCCTAGCAGCAGAATTGAATAGTGTTCAGCAAAGTGCTTTTCAGCTGTAAGTATCCAAACGGCTGTTTGAAGGCCCACTTTTCCATCACATTTACATTACATTAGAATATATTCCTTTTAACTTCAGGTGACTGCTATCAGCTTGTTCCCTGCGTCCCATGCCCTTTTCCTCTCCAGTTATGTAAGTGTGAAGCACAGTGCATCTGAGGGAAAGTATAAACAGCAGACGGACCTCAGATCCCCGGCTCTGTGATGTCTCATGCCGCGGCTGCATCATTGCAAAGAGACAGAATACACTGCATTAACATCCAATTTAATTTAAAGAGATCCATACAGAGTCTCGCAACACAGAGGTGGCTAAAAATAAGGCATTATTGTTTCCCCAGGGGACTTATGAAGCTGAGGTTGTTCAGACTCTTTACTGCAAAGTGTCTATTTCAGCAGTCCATCTATTTTCATCGGTTAAACCAGCCTCGAAACTCTGTCTTCCTAAGAGTTTGAAAGAGCTGACAGTGAATGGAGATAATACTTATCACATTGTTGCTATGTGTCTGTATTTTGCAAAACATTGTTACCTTTCTTATACTGAAGTTGATGACCTTATACTGGGAAGGACAAAATCCCTCACGGCTACCTGTTTGAGATATTTCTCAGTTGAGTGAATCTGGATCCTAATACTCTGGAGCTGTTTGTGCTCACTGGACATTTTCACTCATATGAAGCACTCATTCCTCCCAGTCTTTGTGAAATAAAACCTCAAATCATTTCAACTTTCTGAATCTGCAACCAAATTGCATGGGCTATGATTTGGTATGAGGCAACCCTGCCTGTCTACAATGGGAAATGATGAAATTTGCCTTCACTATTCAAATACTCATCAGCCCCACCATTAACCTGAAGTGCTGACACTCGATGGGGAAGCTCTAATTTACCTGATTGTGCTCAATCCATGGCTACAAACGTGAGTGCAACCCTGAGATAAGATTTGAAACTCCCACATCTATTGGCCAATGTTCTCACTTGGAAGCTGTGAAACTACTAATAGCATAAACGCATGTTATGCTCAGTCTGGAAATATTAAGAACATCTAAAAAGCCAAAAGGGACTTAAAGGATTTTTTTCTTACCGTAATGCAAAAACAAAAAAAAAGATATTTTCTTAACTTAATAAAACCCCTTTTTATGTCTAAATCTAATCAGTTTTCAAAATGATCTCCAGTACATGAGTCATATCACATAGCTGCTGAAAAAGAAACTCTAAATTTGGTCAAACAGTGCCAGTGGGGCACTCATTACACACAACTCACGCACAACTATGACTGACTTTTCTTTTTTTCTTTTTCCAGCACATTATAATGGCTGACCATGAACCACACACTGACATCTATTTACCTAACGATAACTGCATTAAGTCAAGAAACCCCCCAGCTAGTTTCTTTAATGAAGAAATATTTGAGTAAAACTTCTATCATTTATTCAACCCAACTTTCTGCATGATGTTGATTTTTTTTTAACAGTTTCCAGGAGTCTGTGTACATGACGGCCTTTAACAACTTTCACTTCTACTGGGGCTTTTTTTTTTTACTGCTTTTGTTGCACAAACTTTGCACAAAGTGGCTGATTGGATATTTTGTCAATTGTTAAAACAAATGTATAAAGATAGAGTGATATGTAGATACAGATATGGATGTAGACATTTTTATTTGCATCCGTTGCCTTTCACCCGCATCGACTGAAATATCCATTTTTAAATCAACACATCAAACATTTCCTTCAAGCCTGAGCTTTATGGGGGTGATTGCATTTTTATCAAATACAAAGTCACTGAAGTAATGTATCTCACCACGATCATCTTTTCCACTTTGGCGATGCCCTTCCCAAATATAGTCCCCAACTGGTCTCCAACACCAGCCAACAAGAACCCAAACAGAGGAATCCCCAGCAGAGCATAGATTATGCAGAAGATTCTTCCTCCTTCTGTATGAGGGGATATGTTTCCAAATCCTGTGAGAGTAAAAGCACAAGAGGAAAAAAAAGTTCAATAGGCAGATTTTTATTTCTACAAAAAAAAGGAAATTCTGGTATGATTGCCAACTTTAACATTTAATATGACACTTTCACAGGTGTCTGCCCAAACTGTTCTACATTCTCAAATGACAACACATCGAAGTAAGGAGTATGTTTTGGGTGAAAAAATAAGTGACATCTGCTACATTTTCATCGCTATCTTTGAGCTGAACTTTTGTCAAAGATTTTCTCTCCTCCATTATTTGATAATGAACATGGTGAAGATGGCTCGATATTTTGATACTTGGAGAAGTGTCGTGTAGCTTACATCTCCAGAATGTTCCATTCAGACAATGATGGCAGCTTTTTGTGTCTCAGTTGTCAGTGTTAAAGTTTTAGGACTTTTTTCGTGCAGAGTTCATTTGCCACTTCTATGAATGTCTATGTTAGCAATATTTTTAATGAATATTGGTTTTCGCATTACGCTATGTCATTTACTTATTCCTAGCTGCCATAGTTGGAGTCTGGTTTTGAAAGGATGTAAATGTATGTCTAGCTATAGAAGGCTCTGCATGCATTCTGTCTGAGCTCTATATCAAAGCAATGATACACTATGAAACTGTCACAAATAGCTAAAACATTATCTGTCCTCAAATAAAGGCACCACAGGCTAAAAATACTGCGCAAGGAAATAAATGTGAGGACGTCTTTTACTTCATTGCTGGCACCATATAAATAACCCCCTTGGTAGACAGGGAAACTTTTTCACAAAGCTTGGCTTTTTCTCTCTTACCAATGCCGATAGACACAGAAGCTTAGGAATAGCTTTGATTCAATTGAATTTGTGGGAGACGAAGCTACGCAAAGGCTCTGACTCAAGCTACAATTTATAATTCAGTCTCTGCTCTAAAGCAGCTCTGACATGAATGAAAGATGAAAACATATTAACCCGGGATCATCTTTTCCTTTCCACGTGCTTTCTTCATACGCAGGCAGGTTGTGGTGTGTTGAGCACACGCCTCAGCACTGTGCATCACGCTGACTCACAACATAAGGCAGCATACCATATCAGCTATATTTCATTTTTAGACTTGGCTACCTAACAAGCTACATTCATTTCCTTTATCAATCCTTTTTTTTTCAGTCCGGATGGGACCAGCCTGCCTTCAAAAGACCTTCCATGTTCAGACTGGAATGAGGTGACACCTATTGGGAGGGAAATTGTCAATCAAGTCTCAGTAATTTCATGATTGCTTCAGTGGGAGGCAGGATGCTGAATTGTTGTTAACAAACCTACATGTGGGGCAGACAACAAACAGGAGCTCTTTAATTTGAAGGCAAACTTCTTTTCTTCCTCTCAGTATTAAACTAAGCGTTTCTTATTTGATTTCGCAGCTCATTGCAATTTTATATTATTTTTTTAAAAAGCAAGTAAAGCTTAAATAAGCTGAGTTGAAAAATATAATTGGCATAAACTGCAGATATTTTTCAGTGAATTTCAAAATATGTTTTTGCTTGTTTCTCACTGTTGACTTCTCGCTGACATGTCTTGTAGCACAGACACTCTGCCGCTCTCCTGGTTCCTCACAGAGCTTCACAACTGACTTCTACACTTCCTGCTTGAATAATGTATCCAGTTTTCTCTGTGAAGACCCCAGTCCTTCTCCCCTATGAGACTACTGAATACACTTTGTATTGGACGCATGCAGCGATGCATCAGTTAGCATTTATCATGGTGAGAAGACAGCTGTTTTGAAGGAGTAATGATTGGTTTGATCTGATTAAATAAGGCAGACAAATGGAACCTTTTGACTTGAATTTAATTAGTTCCACAGATGTGTTATCACTGTTTTTATTTTCATCCAGTTTCTGTTTTCTACAGTGTGTTATCACTACATTAGTTAATGAGGAACATTATCAAACATTAATACAGTATTCACAAATGCAAATCCCAGTATTTAGACAAATAAAGATTGTTACATGTTTACTTTCCCCCCCTTAGTCAATTAGTGGAATTGGTAGAAGGCATGTAAGATATAAAATAACTTTGTTTACAAGGTAGAAGAGAGGATTTATTTAGAGTGTAGAATATTATGGAACTATAGACTGTATAGACTTCCTAGGGGAAGTGACACTGTGAGCTCAATCTCTGCTGTACCTTTAAAGTTCCCAGGAGATGAGAGGATGGAAGTGGAAGAGACAAAGGATGCTACATCGTTATTTTAGTCCATTTCCTAGATTATGAGTAGAAAATACAATAAAGAAGCATTGACAAGTTATTTCTTCAATTAAAGCAGCCAATTAAAGTTATTAGTTATTAATTCATGTTCAATCATCTCCTGCTGACTTTAGGACAGTAAAAAAGATGCAAAATCTCAAAAACCTATGGTCTGTATTCCTTTCTGTCGTTTTTGAGCTCAGAGTTTACACAAAATGACACACTGATTTTAAACACAGCTCTTCTAAATGTGACTTCTTTGAAGTCATGAAAAATTGTGATTATGTGCCATTATGTGACAGAAAACAGACGAGACACAAGGCTGACATTCCTAAAGCTAAATCAAAGCGCTAGCTAAAGAGGAAAGATTAGAGATCTGAAAGCAAACAAAGCAAATCTATATTCTCTGAAATTAAAGCAAGAGAACTCTCCTATTTTTCTGCACAAGCAGCTGATGCAACACCATGGAAAAACACTCAGATCTCCTCAGGTGAAACCACAGCGAGCCAATCAATTGTAAAGAGAAGCTCAGCATATGTAAAGCGCTGTTGCACAGGAATGGAACACGGCTCGATCTCTGGAGTGAGAAATTTCACAGCGCAGATCTTTACCAAATCTGAACAAGTGAGATAGAGAAGCACGTTTTAGGGCGCCAACTGCCGTTTTTTGCTCTGTGAGATTGAACAACAACATGATGGGCACTGGCAGAATCCATTGGACATGAAATGATGCGAAACAGCCTTCCAAAAGCAGACAGCTGATATGCTGAGGTGCTTGGATGTGGACATGGACGCTGTTGCCAGTTTCATCAATACGTTATGTGCAGAAGAACAAGCACGAGCTGATTTCCTAAACGGTGCACGTAAACAGTTTGCTCTGCATGAACGATTCGATGCCACGCTGAAACATTTCACAGAATCGTGCCTCGAAAAAACATCATGGCTGTTCATCTGAGGAGCAAGTATGCCCTTTTACCCACCACAAATCAAATCCCTCCTTCACTATTTAGTGCATTTTGTACTCTCATTAGGGGGCACATTCTGACAGGGGTGTTAGAGATGTGAAATGAAGCCTAACAGCCCACTGAACAGACACTGTGATCTGTCAAGGTCCAATTGGATGAGCCAGATTAGCTGTCAGAGTGTGTGTGTGTGTCTGTGTGTGTGTGTGTGTCTGTGTGGAGGGAGCTGTTTGTGTGAGATGTCCATTTTTTGCTGATTAGTAAATCCTGACGGCTGCAGTTGACACACACAGAAAGACAACAAATGGTGTTCAGGAGATGGGAAGCATGTTGGTGTTTCAGGCTGTATTTATCTGTTAAAACACCATGCTTTTATTAGAGTCAAGCTCTGCACAGTATTTGATCTATCTGTGGGTCTTTTTTTTTAGTATTTAATTTACTCATTTCTGTGAAATGATTTGTCAATTTTTTTTTTTTTTACTGATAATCAATCGGGAAGTCTTGTCTTCTTCCAAAATTAAAGCGAAGTGTAAATTAAAGCGAAGTGTAAATTAAAGCGCGGATCTGTGGTTGGAGTAGGTTTTTGTTTTTTTGTTGTCCGCCCTGATGTAATGAAGTGCAGTTTGAAACAGAAGCTGGACATTTGTCATTTCTGTGCAGTGTTGCAATTTTGTGCATTAAGATAGCATAGCGTTGAAGCCCTGTGGGTTTTCCCACAACGGGCATTGGTAGATGGGAATGTGTGTACTTTTTCATGTTGTTTTTTTACAGTATCAGCCCAAACATACTTAAAAAAACCATTATTTTCATTTCAACAAACTGCCCTCTTACCGATTGTTGTGATTACAGTCCCCGCAAAGAAGAAGGAGGAACTGAGGTCCCAGAGGCTTGTCTGATTGGACAGATTCCCTGATGGATTCACTCCTGATCGAACTGCAGAAACCACTTGCTGCAGCAAAAAGAGAAAAAGTTTGCACATTAAAGCAGTGTAGCTCTGTGGGATTTTGGTGAAATGAAGCTTTACAAAGTAGGTGGTGTGCATCAGCTTTCAGAGGGAATAGATGACAATCGAGGTGAACACCCAGCCAAAGCCAATTACGAGTTGGGAAAAGATAAAGAGCATCTGTCAACTTACTAAAATGCAAAAAAAGTGACATTTGAATCCTCACTGTTGAAATTACAGGAAACAACTTTTGAAGTGGCAAAAACTTGGTGCTACTCTGACATTCTGAAATAAATTCTGAAATAAACATTGCCTGTTGTGTCTGTTTTGATGAATCATCTTGAAATTGTAACATTCAAAGCCTCAAATCACTTATAAGAAGTGCTCATTATGTGGTATTTCAAACATGCATCAAAAAGAATAGAGCTTAATGAGTAAACTCTCATTTTTTGATGATAATTTGACTAAAACGTATTCTGTATTCTAACTAAGCCAGTCCTGTTTCCTGTAGTAAAATATAAACTTGGTAAAAAAAACAGTCAGACAGAAAATGGAGCCAAAATATGACAACTATTTCCTATCCATGCCAGGGTTTAAGGTTAGTGATTGATAATAATATATTGTCAAATTCAAACTTTCCACAGATTTCATTTTAACATGTACTGGTCCGATGTCCATATACTTTTCTATATTTTTTAGTGAGTCGATGTGTTAAATGCCTTCCCCATCTCCATAACTTTTCTTTTTCCAATGCACAGCGTCTTCCACATCCATACAATAAAATCTAAACTCCAAGTCAGTTCAGTTCCCATCATCCATCAATCACAAAAAATGTGAATAGTTACTCTTTGGATGTCAAAAAATTTGGCTCCATCCTTTTAATCAGTCTCTCTTTATTGAACTGTAATGAACTGCTCTTGAACGCTGATCGGCTGGTCAAAGACAAAGGCCACTGAATAGCTTATCCCTGGAAGTCTGAGCGACCCTGAGCTCAACCTGGGCAATTGAGTGCAATAGCACAATTTAGTGCTCCAGGTTTCTTGGTATAAGTGCATTTGAGGATCTCCACAGAATCATTACTGCAACAAATAAAAGAGAAGTATCTAACACATCAGGGGAGCAGGCAGAGCTGCACAGCCAACACTAATATATTATGAGAGAACAATTTATATGGTTTATCCCCGTGAGGTGGGTTATCCATTTATTTATTTATCTATTATTAATTCAAACTGAACAAAAACATGGAACTGTGCCTGGTTCATTTTAATAAAGACGGGACATTTTATCAGTAGGGAGCAGCAGATTAGATCATTTTCATTGTGTGCATTTAAAACATTATGAACTTGCAGGATCAAAGAAGTTATACAGCAATAATGATGTTCGTTGGCATGAACACACAAATCCACAGTTTATGGCTTGCGGTCATTGTCGTTTATCACTGGTAGTGACAGTGAGTTTTCATTCATCTTTGATTCGGGCGTATGCTGAGGGGGAGAGGACAGAATGGTTATGCTAAAATGATTCATTGATATACTGGAAATTTAGAGAAATGTCACTGATGTAAAGGAACAACACATGAGTAATGTGACTAAGGAAGCTTTTTTCATTGTTATCTATGGCTTTTATTAACTGTTTACCCAGTACTTGTTGGCTGCTGGGGCTGCTGTGTAGGGAATTTAATTTATAATGGAAGATTTCACACCTCAGTGCTCGGGATTAATGCAAGAAGAGGTGTGCTCTTCACTAACTTTCAGAAATTCCCAAATGGGAAAGCAAAAACAGGCGGCATTACATGTGAAAAAAAAGAAAGAAAGAAAAAAATGACAAGCAAACTGCATATTATTTCCCCAGTACTAGACAGGTAACTATGCAGATGTATCCAATAGAAGCCCTCATCTTAAGGATGGTGGTGTAGGAAAGGCCTGGACAGAGGCAACAGAAGGTAAAAGAGAGCACATTTATTTAACAAATCTGTAAAACACTACTGGTGAGCTAGAAACATCATGAAACTGAACAGGGGAAACCAAACCAAACAAAACAGGAAACGGGAACAGGAATAAGCGAGACAACATAGAGTGAACATAATGCGGTTATGGTCAGGTTTACGGCGAGGGTCAGTAAGGAATAAATGGCATGAAGGACCTTAAAGGAGAGTGGTTTGTGAGTGAGTGCAGCTGAGGGGGGGGGGGGGGGTGAATGAATTTACCAGCAGCATGGTATACGCTGTAAAAATGATGAACCAGGCAAGGTGCAATTATTCTAACAGATTTTTTGCTTTAGAATAAAATACATTTTATACAAAAGCATTTATCTCTCTTCAACTGTTCTGATTGTTTTTTTAACTAGCCGCCGATCTTTTGGTTGAACAAATTCATTAGTGACGTCAAACACATAGTGATTGTAATTTTCATTTTATCTCTCAGTTTCTAAATAAGCTGAAAAGATTCAACTGTCACAATAAAAAATTCACTTTGAGAATAACCCCAATAGCCACAATAATTGTTTGCTACATGACTGTTTTTTGACAAGTGGGAGCCTTCAAATGTGCTTGTATGGACGTTTGCATACATTACTACATAAAATTGAATTGATGGGACCAGTGTTGAAGCAGTGAGGAGGAGCAGAGCTGTTTAATTGGAAAGAAAGAAAGACTTCCTCCGGGTCTGTGTGTGGAAAAAAACAACCTCACAATGGTAATTGTTTAAAGAAATACAATAACTGATTTTAAAGGCCTCCCAGTAGTACATATCCATCTCCAAATGTAAAATGATGAGCTAATATATCATTGAATTCTTTTGATGGTGTCATTTGGAGCCATGGGACTCAGGTGCTCTATTGTATTCTGTTTTACGAGCCATTGTTCTCTACATAACACACGCAAACACCACACTGACCTAAAAATGCAGAAATAACTAAAACAATATTAAAACAGCAAGTAAGATAGAATCAATGGGATTGACCGGAGAAATTTATACTGGGATTTTCAAGACAGGCCGCTCAAACCTGAATGTGGGTCTGAATATGTAAGATAATGTAAGCAGCTGGTCCACTGAAGGCCTCCATACTGTGACCCCTGAGTAGTTACAGCCTCTGGCTTTTCCACATGATCTTCTGAATGAAAGAGGTAGTTGTCTGGTTTGTTTCCCTCATATTTTTTTGTCTCCCCACTCACTTCTATTATTGCTGCTCTCTGCCTTTTCACCACGTTTTTGTTGTGACTTTGGATGATGGAGCCCCTGATCCACACCTGACTGCAATTAGTCATTATTCATGCTTCCTGGTTTCTGGGGTTCTCTGCACTGCTTTGTGTTTCTCGTGGCTTTGCATACTTGATTCCTTGTTTTAATCCTTATAATTATGGAAACCTCAGCTTGTTGCAGCCTTTTGCTGCTCACCTCATTTTGCAATCGTCTGCTCGTGGATTTTAAATGCTTTCTTGCTGTTAGTTGTTTGATGTTCAGTTGTTGACTGTTTTTTATTCTTTTAATCTCTGCAATTTTGTGCAAACATGTTGGATTTTATGTGCCTACTGTCCATAATTGAGGTTCTCATTCTGTCACTCGTCGCAGAGAGGTCTTTGGTTGTTCACAAATGACCCTGAATTGGTCTGTGCCCTCATGAGCTTTTACACCACTGGCATTCATTATCTTTTGGTCGACTCTTCCCTGAGACACTCATTTGTACCAATCTGTTAGCAAAGTGCTTACAAATGTTATTTTCCTTCCTGGACACAGCTCTATGAAAACAAGTTCCTGGTTCTTTAAAAAAAAAAAAAACTCAAGCTATATAAAACAGCAATTGATATCTGACCTGTTTGGTAAAGTTTGGTGTTTTGCTTTTTCCTTTAAAAAAAATACAAACAATTGTTTTAGATTTTTCAAGAACTACTTTGGGGTAAATATACTGAGCTATGGAAGCCAGTGGAACAAATGATCTGCAAGGTTTGGCGGGTTAGTAAGTGAAGTCATTCAACTTTAGCCCCAAGTCCATTAAAATCAATTAGATAAATTAGACCTGTGTCCAGTCCTCTGTTGTGCAGTTAATGAGCCTCTACTGACTGACCAGCAGATGAAGCAGCTGGTTGTATGGTTTTGTTGTCTTTCATCTATCTATCTATCTATCTATCTATCTATCTATCTATCTATCTATC